GTCACACAATCCCGATGCCTTGTACTCTAGCTATCTGCCATGGCCCATAAGCGAACTCACACTACAAAGTATGATAGGATGTACATGTAGTTACATCCATTATCTCAACGTACGCCTCCTAAGTTTCCAACGACGCCTCTCAAGTTCAACCCACTCTTGCATATGCCCTACATTTCACCCAAATCTTAAAGCAAACACAGCAAAACCTAGACAAGGCCCCGAATTTGGTAGGCAAACCGCCGCGGGATATTTACACCAATTCTTTCAGCTTGGGCATGGCCATATGGGTTATTGCATATTATGATAATAACTGGTGATAGTGGATCGACATGGCAGCTAGGCCCCAGCAAATCAATGGCAAACTCCACACTTGATCAAAATATCGGACGACTCTAAATACCTGTAGATGGATTCGGCGACTCTCGACCACTCTCTTACGTTTAGTGCACTTTAGATTTCTACATCCAGTATCCTTGTTGAGAAAGTACACATCTTTGCTCTATAGAGTAGGAGTATATCCTTATCTTATACCTCACTCGCATATCTATGTTTGAATCAATAGAACGCACCGCTCAACCACATACTCGGGAGCCCCTCCTCCTCCCCTTCTACCCGTGGCCCAGAACAATCGTTTATTAAGAGCATATGTATGTGCTTCTGATATCGACCCGGGACGCGGACACTCAATATATCGATATCTTCTCTTGATAATCCCCTGTTTGCCAGCACAACAAGCAGCAACAGGGTCCCTGGCGATAAACAGATTCTATACCCAACGCCGCCCATCTTAGCCAAAGCACTATTATTGGAGGCCCGATGGGACGGAAGCGTATATTTTACGCGAGCGAGAAATAACGAGAGGCAATGGCGCGATATAGGGTGCAAGTGCAGAACCATGTACCCACTCTACTGGCCGATTTCTCTGGAGGAGCTTTCAGCCCATCATATCGCTATCCCGATATTTGGAAAGAGGTTTGTTTGGTTCGAGAATAAGCTTGGTACCGATTAGCTACTGCTCAATCAAAGGCCTAAGGATATCATTGCGGCTAGATTGCCGGGCCCGGGGAAGGTAAGAGCCTGAATGTGACCGCCTCTGACCCAAATTAATTCCTTCAGCTGACATCATAGTAATACCACGGTGCAGCAAACTCAACCCCTTACCCCCAAATCTGAGATTATGGATTGTGAGACACCGGCTACTAATATTTTACTACAAGCGGTTGCCCTAGTGTTACCATACACGATTGTGTTGGTCCTTAAAGCCTTATAATCATGATAATCATTACCCTCCGATCATTTCAAACACCAAACCAGGAAAATATCTCCTTGTCTTGGACACACTGGACTCACTCTTATCATCAAGACTCGTCGAAGTCTTGTATGTAGCGGCTGGTCTTGAAGGTGTACTAATCAAAGTCCGCCCACCAGATACCCTACGTTTGTTTGAGCGCACGCCAAGGTGTGTCCGAGATTGAATTAAGGACTAGTTGTGGAATTTCGAAACATGAGATAAAGATGCCAAGATATCCTAACTTTATTTTGGCCGAAATAATAGCTTTGGAAATTTATATCTCACCCTAAACAACTGCGTTCAGATGATCGTTCCCCTGTATATGCTGTCATAATCATGCAGCGTACTCTACGGAAATCTCCATAGCACCCAAAATATGCTCTCTCTATTCTGTAACAACTACAGCCGCTGCAGCCTTATAAAAACTTGGAGACGCCCAATATACATACCTGCCACGTTTTTTTAATCACTTTACTAACATGACCCCGCCTAGAATAAGAAAATACAGACCAGCCGCATTATAGGAGTGTGTACAATTCTATAGATCTATATAACTGACTAGCTAGCTGCACTCATACTCTTAACCTCTGAGCTCAACGCCTGAACTGCCAGGTGACAAAGATAAGGCAATCTAGCCTCGGCCCATCTCACTCAGCACGCCAGTTCTCGTCTCGTCAGTAAGCACGCCAATTCTTGCCTAGAGGTTTTACCCCCCTTTTTATCGACGGCAATCCTTTGTATGGATGAGGAACGTGTTGTGGATGAACATGGCATAATATCAACCCCTCTTCATAAAACTGGGGGGTATATGTGCAAATGTTTCTTTTACAAATAGAAACAGACCACTCAGGCCTCTCTGACTCTCTTCCTTATCCTTTTCATGTCGACTCTCTCTTTATCTATACCTGCATGCGTTAGATACCACATGAAGAAGCATAGATCACAGATATTATATGGCAGGACACGAATAGATACGTCATCACGAGTGTGCCAGCGCCCGATCATTTGGATATGTACCAAGTGCTACTGCGGGGAATTGTTCCAAGCTATGACCTGAGCTCGAGAAGACATCCCAAACCATGGTGTACATACATACGGCTAGAGCCGCGGCCGGGTGATTCGATATATGTACAGTACCAAAAAAGCGGGTGGATCCAGTACCATATCTGGCAAAATACCGTAGGGTTACGGTATTGTTACGGTATAATAGTTAGGATTCCGATTTAATTCGGAAGTTTTGCACAGTTCCGTATTGGTACAGTACCTATTACATCCTCTTTTTTCGTACTGTATGGGGCAAATAATGTTTTTGGACATGCAAGTGCCTGCAGCAAAAGAAGTAAAATATACAGTAAAGACCCAGTGCACCGCGAAATAATCCCAAGAGACGCAACGGGGGGGTCTACTCGATCGACGTCATAGCTCCCAAGTAACCTTGGATTTTTCTTTTTCCACTCATGTATAGTAGGGACGCCCCAGTAAACGCTTTCACGTGTGCTAGCTATAGGTGTGGCCAATTAATTCCACGATTTTAACTGGGCCCCCTATATAATAGTAGTAGCTAGTGAAAAGAGCTATCGATTGACCATTTGCGTATCATAGATTGATAACTCCGGCGTATATTTTGGGGTGGCCATACTCCATTGAAGGTTTATACTTGGCTATTTTTTAAACCCTAGGGCTAACGCTATCGAGTGTGAATCTGAATCAAATTTTTTCCCGTGGGTGTCACCGAGTGAGAATTCATGAAGATAATTACTTGATGTTTGCTCCCTTTTAAGAAAGGCTTCCAAATATGGGAAAGCATGTATTGCAAAGGGGAAACATGTATGGAATCAAAACACGAACTAAGAAAAGAACGAGGAAATGGTATAATCAATAATTATTGCGGAGTCAATTCCTTCTCCGCCTCTACTGATCAAATTGAACGGTTAGACATATTATATATTACAGTAAGGGACAACTTGGCTTCGACTTTCGATAATTATCTGGCCGTTAGTAGTTCTCACCAGATCTCAATTGAGTAATTTTTTTTTTTCTAATTTTGTTTGTAACACACCTACGAGTAACGAGATCCTGACTCGAAAGATTTGAAGAGAGAGAAAAGTACTATTTCCCAGATTATTATACAACCATAAACACCCACAGAGCACACCGCACAAACCACCTTGATAGTCCAACACCTACGCAACGAACCCGCGTCGCCTGTATCTGCAAAACACCAATTGCAACACTAACCAGGTCCAAACAAACCAGAGAGAAACAGATCTATAGTTAAATTGATCTAGATTGACGGGCCCAAAATACTAACCCCAAAAAAAACCTTTTACTAGAACTGGACGCGGCTGGTATATAGTCCAAACTGAGATACCGATCCAAGCATCTCGACCAAATCCATGCAGCAAAACCACCGGGTGGTCTCTGCCAACATGGCCGGGCGTTTCGACCAGTTGCTGAAATAAACACCCAGGTTCGAATGCCCTAATTGTAGCTACATAGAGAACCAAGAAAGCTAGACTCGGGGGTCTTCCAGACCACCACAACCCCCAACAACCCCAAGCCCACCAGACCCGCCGTTCTAACCCCCAAGGCTCCTTCTGCCACTACCGTACTATGCGGCACATCCAAGTATCCCCTACCCATTACCCCTGTAAAAACCTAAAAACCTAGAGCACTCACGATTAGCCCCAGTTCCCCTCTTCAAAACTCCACCTCCCCCCCCCCCCAAGCAGCACAAAAAAAAACAAAGCAGAAAGAGAGTGTGAAAAATGTCCGCGACACCCCGCCTCCCATCAAAACCCCGCAGCACCGAAAAAAAAAAAAAAAAAAGCTCTGCGAGGGACCAGGGAAGAGGTTTTTCAGCGTGCCCCCACCGAGCAGAACGCACGCCGCGTGTATGATTTCCGCGCCAAGAGTGAATCTGCCACTTTCAATGGGAAGAAAAATTGGCCGGCAGATGCAAAGAGGGCGCGGTTTTTTTGTGCTGGGGGTGGGATTGGGATTTGGGATTTGGGAGAAGAGGGGGGGGGGGGGAGGGGGGATAGGAGGAGGGGGAGCTAGAGTATGGCGGGGGAGAGAGTACTAGAAATAGAGATTGATGGACTTACGGAGTTGTTGGTTACTACATGCTATAGTAGTTAGACGCTGTTCGCTCAATTGTTAGGAATAGTTGGAATTGACAGATGAATTGCAGAACCGGGTGCGATTGGGTGATGACGAAGAACAGAAGAGCAGAGGGCCCTTAAAAAGCCCCACCCGTTGCCCAGCCTTACCCGGCCTCTGCACCCCTTCTTGGCACACACGAGTGATGTGTCATGACCAAATAAGAGCTTTCCAGAGCTACATGTATGGATAAGGCCACGCCAGAAGTGTCGCAATTGGCGGTAGGTTGCAATGCATGAAGTATCACTTTCTCTACTGGAAGAATGGATACTTCCGATGCCGTGGGTTTATGAGTTTCGAGCCATACGTAGAGACCAGAGAGACAAGAACATATTCAATTTTTTAGGGTTTCCCTCGCTGCCATCCTTGATTTGATATCACATTTTCCTATCCTGACCTGTACTCCACACATACATATCTCTAGTCATCTGCCTCTGCCTCTTTCCCACCCCAGCCAGCCAGCCTAGAAGTACATTTCCCCCCCCCCCTTTCTCCTTCCCTCCCCCGCCTTCCATTGCATTGCCTATAAAGAAAAATACAAACTGCTTTACATCAATGGCGGCAGGAAGAACGGATAGCTTCCATTCTTCTGCTTAAACAAGTTCATCAGGAAGCTGAACGCCACAAGGAGCACCACGTTCCAGATAACAATGGCAGCCTTCTGTCTGCCGGGGTCCTCGATGCGGGGCGTCTTCATTGCCAGCGAGATTGTAGCAAAGCTCAGAATTGCGTCTATCCACCAATTAGCCCCCGCCCCCACCACCTAGCACAGATTAAAGGAAATGTACTCACAGATAACCGCCACAATCTGCGTCTCGAGCCCAAACTGGTTACTAAACCCACCCGCCACATAGCTGATCCCTCCGCGGCCATTGTTCGCCACATACGGCACGCGGCGGATGTGGTTAAACATGTGTCCACTGGTAAACAGCAAGATCGCAATGAGGGAGACAGCAGCCCACAGGTTGCGGCTGTACAGCATCGGCTTGACCAGCGGGAACGCGAGCTTGAGCGCCGTGAGGCCAAAGATCACGGCGCCGGCGGTGACGCCGAGCTTGGCCCAGTTGAAGGGGCGGACGACGCGCGGCGCGTGCGTGGTGTGCGCGGCGATGAAGCGCGCGACGACCTCGGCTTTGGTCTGCACCTTGTTGAACTCGAAGCGGAGGGGGGTGTCGATGTGGGCGGGGTCGGCGGCGGGGCCGATGCTGGGCGGGAAGACGTAGAGGACGGGGGCGGTGGTGAGTTGCAGCTGCGACTGTTAGCTGGGGGTGCAGACAGAAGAGGGGGGGGGGGGGGGGGGGGGTGAATTGAAGAAAGACAGAGAGAGAGAGAGAGAGAGAGAGAGAGCTCACCTTCTGGAACGTAGTCCTAGCATTGGCAAAGTCGAGCTCGCCAAAGACGAGGCCGTCCGTGGGTGCGTGCTCCGCCATCCAGCTCTTTGCGAGGAGCTCATACTCGGGGCCGAACTCGCGGCACAGCTGGCAGCCAATGCGTGGCTCGAGGGCCGTGAGCAGGACGACGGCGGTGTAGTTCCGGGGCCCCGTGGTCAGGTCGTCGTAGAGCGTGTCGGTGAGCTGCAGGACCCCGTTCTTGTGCTTGGGCGTGTTGAGCAGGGCGTTGAACTTTGCGAACTTCTTCTCGGCGGCGATGGCGGAGGACGAGGCAGCTGCGAGGGCGCTGGGCACGAGCAGAGAAGCTGCGGAGAGCAGCAGTGTGAGGGGATTGAGGATGTGCATTGCGGTGCTGTCTCGTGGGTAGGCGGAGAGCTGGTGCTGTCTCGTGGGTAGGCGGAGAGCTGGTGCTGTGTGTGTTCTGTGTGTGTTCTGTGTGTTTTCAATTGTCCTGTCTCTGTCTCTGTCGGCGGTGTTCTTGTTCGAGTGCTCGTTCTTCTGCGTCGGGCGAGATCGATCGTCGAGTGCAAACGCAATGTGGTCACTTGGGCAGCCGCGCAGCCCGGCCGTTAACAGCAGTTAACGTGCGGTTATTGCCGTTGCTTACCGGTTACCGCAGCCACGGACAGCGAGAGTCAACAAACACGGCAGATCGATCACTTCCGATAACACCAACACCGGAGACGATCACGACTTCCCCCTCCCTCTTTCTCCCCTCGCCCTGCCCCTCTCTAGAGGCCCCTCTATACTCTCCCCATACCCTCTGCCTGTGCCCTCTCTCTACTCTCTCTCTCTCTACTACATCTGCATCTGTACTCTTTACTCGCAACAGCACACACACAATACCCGTATAGACAGACACCCCCCACAATGGCGGCCAAAGACCGCGACACAGTCCTCGAGCTGGCAGACGTACGCCCCTCCCCCTCCTCGATCCCCCTCCTCGATCCCCCTCCCCCTCTCTTCCCTCCCCTCCCCCTCTCTTCCCTCCCCTCCCCCTCTCTTCCCTCCCCTCCCCCTCTCTTCCCTCCCCTCCCCCTCTCTTCCCTCCCCTCCCCCTCTCTTCCCTCCCCTCCCCCTCTCTTCCCTCCCCTCCCCCTCTTTCCACCGCACACTAACCCCTCTCCCCCCCTCCAGCTCACGCGCCAGCTCGCCACGGCCCGCTCCCTCCTCACCTACGAGCAAACCTGCCACACCACCACCCGCCTCGACGCCGCCGAATCTCAGCGGCAGCAGCGCGTCCGCCTCCTGCACCTCGAGCCGCAACACGCGCTCCTCCTCGCCGACCACAACCACGAGAAGGCCTACTCCGCGACGCTCGAGAAGCACGCCCAGCACGCGGAGGCCCGCATCGCCGAGCTCGAGGCGGGCAACAGCGAGCTGGAGGCAGCCAAGGGCAAGCTCCAGAAGCAGCTCAAGGGGCGGCTGCTCGAGCAGGGCACGGCACAGGGCGCGCGGGAGGAGCAGACGAGGGAGCTGGAGGAGATGAAGGGCCGGTGTGCGGATCTGGAGGACGAGATTGCGGGGCTTAAGCGGGACGTCGCAGCGGCGCAGGGCCGGGCAGCAAAGGCGGAGAAGGAGCACGGGAAGCTGCAAGCCGCGCACAAAGACCTCGAAAAGACGCACAAAGACCTCGAAAAGGCGCACAAAGACCTCGAAAAGACGCACAAAGACCTCGAAAAGGCGCACAAAGACCTCGAAAAGACGCACAAAGACCTCGAAAAGACGCACAAAGACCTCACCAAGACCCACCGCACACAGACCGCCGCCCTGTCCACCCTCACATCCGAGCACGCCACCGCCCTCGCCGCCGCCGAATCCAAAGCCGCCGCCGAGCTCGCCGACGCCCGCGCCACCATCGCCGCCCACAAGACCGAGCTGCACACGCTCGAGGCCAAGCTTCAGGACCACGTCGACCGCCTCGCAAAGGCGCTCACCTCCAAGGCCGCCACCAAGACAGCGCTCGAGTCCGAGCTGGCCACGCTGCGGCTCGAACTCGACGACGCGCAGAAGGCCGCTGAAGACGCTGCCGACGCCCGCGCGGCGCGGAAGGAGGCGGCGTCCCTCGAGAAGCAGCTGTCCGCGCTGCGCGCCGAGCTCGACGCCGCGCGAAAGGCCCCGCCACCAGCAGCAGCAGCAAAAGACAAAGACACCGCCGCGGCACTCAAGCGCGAGACCAAGCTGCGCGAAAAAGCCGAATCCGAGCTGGCGGCGCTGACCGCGCAGCACGCCACAACACTCACCCAGCTCGAGACCACACGCGCCAAGCTGGCCGCCGCCAAGGCCAAGAAGGTGACTCTCCCCCCGTCCTCCTCCGCCGCGGACGACAGCAAGAAGCGCCCCGCGGCCGCAACAACACTCACGATGGCGGACCTGGAGCACTCGGCCAAGCGGCCGCGGAAGGAGGGGCCCAAGGTCAGCGACTTTAGCATCACGCCGTTCCTGCGCAAGACGGCGGCCGTGGCGAGTGATGACCCGAGTACGCCGACAGGGGGGGCGGGAGGGGAGACGACCGCGGAGATGGAGGCGGGGGAGAGTAGTGTGGTGGTGCCGGCGGTGGTGGAGAGCTCGTTGCCGACACGGATGCTGCTCGCGGGGGCGGCGAGGAAGAGGAAGGCGGCTGCGGCGGTGGAGGCGGCGGTGCCGGTGGTGGAGGAGGCGCCGAGTCCGGAGCCGGAGCTGGTGAAGAGGAAGGGGAAGAAGCCTGTTGCGGAGAAGGTGGTGGAGAGGGAGAGGGAGAGGGAGAGGGAGGTGGGGATTTTCGATTCGCCGAGCTCGCTGCCGGTGCCGGTGAAGGTCAGGAAACCAGCTGAGAAGAAGCCCGCTGAGAAGAAGCCCGCTGAGAAGAAGCCCGCTGAGAAGAAGCCTGTGGAGAAGAAGGAGAAGGCGGTAGCAGCGATGGCGGAGAAGAAGGAGAAGAGCAAAGACAAGAAAGAGAAGGAGAAGGAGAAGGAGAAGGAGAAAGAGAAACCACTCAAGGGCAAAGGCATCATGCCGACCGTCTTCGACGAAGACGACGGCACGGGGCGGCTGGTCATGAATACCGAGGCGCAAGAGAAGGAGAAGGGGGTCGGGTTGGGGGCGGGCAAGGGGAAGGGGCTGGACGCGGCGGATGCGGGGCTGATGTTGGTGCCTGTCGTCAGCGCGTTTAATCGCGATATCAGTCCGGCGAAGAAGAGGCCTGAGGCGCTGAAGAAGCTGTTTGCGGGGAAGTGGAAGTAGGTGCCGGGGTGGGGCTGGGGGAGGAGAGGAAAGAGGGGGGGGGGGTAATTTAGGTAGTTTAAATAGATATTCCCACTGCTTCTTTTTTTGTTCTTTTTCTTTTTCTTTTTATTTTTATTTTGGTGCGTTTTTTGTGTGGGTTTTTGTTTTTCTTGGGAGGGGGTTGTGGGTGTGAGTTTTGGTTTTGAGGAGGAGTGGTTAGGGCACTTGTAATGGGTTACTTACGGGGTGGGTTCATCTGAGCGCTGCTGAATATGGGGTAGATGGGTGTAAAAGTAGTAGGGTAGGGAGTTTGATATTCACCGCTTTGTAGCAGATAAATGCATAAGTGGGTGGAAAGCATCAATTGCGGATGTTGCGTAGTTGTGTGGGGTGTGGTCACAGTGTATCACTCGATCTAGCCATACGAGTTAAGAAATAAGAATGGATGGATTCACCTATTGTGTTGCGCAATAACATTGACACCAGACACGCACGCAGTCGTCTCGAGAAAATGATTCTGCAGCAAGTATTCTCACACTCCCACGGCCATCCGCCCAACCCTGAGTTTTTTTGTTTGTGCCTCTTAAGTTCGAGAGCCCGGCCCGGCCCGCACGTGAACCCATACACGGTCGAGTCACCACCACCACTTACCGACAACACGACCCCGCCGGGAAGAAAGTAGATCGTCAGAAGTATCAGCGGTGGCTAGTACTCTCCGAGGATGTGAGTCATTAGCACGCGGGTCTGAGTTGATCTGGGGGTATCTGCATAACAAGGCTAGGGTAGGCATCGAGCCCAGGCGTGGGCAAGTATCCGAAGTACTGGAGTCATATGCCGCCTCCCTCCCTCCCTCCCTCCCTCGTCTAGCTATGGATGGCTTGCCATTTTACGGGGGCCCTTGCGTATTCTTGGTAAACAATAGCTTTATATTGAGCAAAGACAAGGCCGGAATAGTCCGTGTAGTGGTCCCGGTCATGGCGAATCACTCGGAAGGTGGATCTAGCTTTGGGTGCATGTAAACGTGTATGCGGTGGGTTTGGGGTAGACACCGCATGTCGCACTACATAGCTCTACAATATGCACCGCTCCTTCCCTCTCGTCTGCTGGGGCAGATTTCCCCCCATCGTAGCACTGTTGGTAGGTGGTGGTGGTGGTGCTGGTTTTCTACATACATGAGCGTGATATGCAACGTCCCGTTGGAGATGAGTCCCCCGCTGCATCACCAATACTTTTCAGAGTGCGTGGTCCACGAGCCGGCCCAAGCCTAGCGCAATTATCAGCCTTGCCTCGTGGACCACACTAGTGCCACGCCCTAAGCCTTTCACCGGCCGAGGAGAGCCCCCCTACCAAGCGTCCAGTCGCTCATATACTACCAAAGCCGATTACCAGCACCGTAGCGTGGTCGAGGGGTAATAGCCTCTACTACGTTGCATGACATCCACGGTTCGACCCGGGGTGGAAGCAGTGATGAGAATGCCCAACATGGTAGCGACGCTCTTGAGGGATGATACTCATCACGTAAGTCTTTTGTCGCTCAATATTTCTTCTCTTTTGTGCTCCATTACGGCGCACAGTATTGATGGCGGTAATGGTCTACGTGCAATTTAGAGTGGGGGGGGTTGAGTTTGGCGAGGGAGGATCGCGTGCCGTGATGTGTTCGGGGGTGAAACTTGGGGACGGGCACTGGAGAATGTGGAATCACGGAATATCACTCGCTTGTCAACGCACGAAGTCCAAAGAGCGTACGAGATAGAGCCTGGCGTGTACTCCGAGCCCCGGCGGTAGGGTAGAATCTATTCTTTCTCAAGTGCTCTCTGCAAGTATCAATTCGCTGTGGGGTATATGAAAGAACTGGCTCTCCAAACACAAGCTCCGGGGGCTCATCTGGGACGCCCCATGGTTTATCTCGACAATTACAGCCACAGTCGAGGGCATCGCTAACCAAGCCCCCTCCAGAAAACTCACTGAAGCCATGTACTGTCAACCCGCTCTCTACGCCGGCAACATCTCTTATTGTTACAGCCCAAAACGCCAGGACGTGTTCACTCACCAGCGTGTTTCTCTTCTTTCTTCGCCCGACCAAATCAACCGAACCCACCATCGCCGAATGACATGAGTTGTGCTCAGTTCTGCCCACCTCAGAGTAAGAAGGCTGCTTTAGAGATCGAGGCTCATGTTATTTGGTCACGGTGGCGAGTTCGTGTGGATTGGATTGGTGGTGGTGGTGGTTTGGATGCTCTTCTTTTGCGTGCTCCCTCTCCTGGGAAGAGGTTGGTATTTTTGTGCATGTGGATAGCGGTGGCTGACCTTCCAGAGGGATAAAATCTTAACCGCTATCGCTACATGTATTCAGAGGCCTTTCTCTTGTTGCTAGAAAAACCTTCGGCGCCTGTGTCACACGACAAGACCACCGAGTGATCACTTATGATCAAAGGTACGTCAAATTCGAACTTGGCACGGTCTACAATCTCGCGCGCCGCAATAACCACTGTAGACTCACCTTTTGCGCAGATTTCGAAAAAGTGGAGCGGTTTCCGTACTACACCACGAAATATCAGAGCTGAGTGGTTACATTCAATCATGATACATCACTCGCATATTGCAATCACTAGATAGGTGGGGCGATCCCCGCAGACTCCGCTAAGTTCATCTCCCCATGCTATAAAATTAATTATTTACATATATACGCCTTTTTTTTTTTTTTTCTCTTTTCCCTTTTTTTTGGCCTATTTTTTACGGCTCCCTAACCGGGGGTGGAGGCTTGAATTCCTCAATCTCCTTCTCCCCTTCCTCAATCGCCAACATCGACGTCTGGCTTCCCTGCAGTAGGTTCTGCAACTGGCTACCGCCCAATTCTTCCAGAGCCTCGTGCGCCAGGATATCCCTCGGCAGCTGTTCCAGCCGCGTCTCGATCTCCTTCCACTCTGTGGGATACGATTCGTTCGCCCACTCTGCGACCTTGTCCCTCACGTCGTGGGATGTGGTCAATGCATACAGCGTCCCAAGCCTATGAAGGTTAATATCCTACCAATATGAAGTAGTAAGGGAACGACTCACAGTTTCACGTCTGGCTTGACGCCATCATTCAGCTCCATCTCCCTCGCTAGTCTAAACGCCTCCTCAAACAGCTCACCCTTCCCCAGCGCCTCGATGTAGGACCTATAATTCTCCACCGTGGGCTTCACGCCCATAGACTTCAGCTGGCCCCACAGGATCTTCGCCCTCGACGTACCCTCAAACAGATTCCCGTACGCCTCAAACACCACACTGATGCTCTGGTAGTCGGGCCCCTCCGTGCTCTGCTTTATGTCCTCCCAGAACCGCACCGCACGCAGCGGGACCCCGCAGCGGTTATACGCATTCATGAGCGCGTTTGTCAGCTGCGTGTCCAGGTCCACGGCCTGGTCAAGCTTCAGCGCATTGTGGATGACCTTGAGCGCATCGATGTCGCGCGAGTAGGCCACGCCGCTGAGCGCAAGGATGTAGCTCTGCTTGCCCGGCCGCCGCCCGGGGGTCCCGCGCATGTGCTTGAACACCATGGTGGCCATGTCGCTGCGGCCCAGCGTGAAGAAGAGACGCATGATGTCGGTGCGCTGGCGCACGGACAGCTCGGGGAATACCTGGTAGAGGATCTGGTATGTGTCCCATGCGGCCTCGATCGATGTCGTGGGGCGGCCAATGTACTCGCCCATCTCGTGGATGACCTTGCGGCGGTCCGCCGCACTAAACACTGCGCACGAGGGCCCGCTGAGAAGCGTTATGACGTCGTTGAACTGGCAGGCGGTCAAGAAGCGGTTCAGGAGCGCGGTGGTGGTCCCAATCTGCAGCGGGCTGCTCCATTCGCCGAGGTCTGTGTAGATGCGGTTGATCAGCTCTACATCGGGCTCGGGCTCCCTGCAGAGGGCCTGTAGCAGGAGCTGGACAGAATGCGCCGGGTACGAAGGGGGCAGCTCCTCAGCGCGCAGCTGCTCGTAAACCTCCGGTGCGATCCTGACCTTGCCTGCGAGGACCAGGTACTCGATCTGGAGCTCGAGGGTCCTCCGGTTTGGGGCGAACTTGCGGTGGATGGCGAGCTTGTGGTGTTTCCGGGCGGCCTTGTAGTCGCCCCTGGCGATTGCGAAGCGGATCAGCTCGTTGAAGGTCTCGATCGAGGGGTATATGCCTGTTGTGGCTGCTCTTTGCATCATGATTGTCAGCAGCCGGGAGATCTCGTTGCTGTCTCTGGTGATGATATCGGCCCACTGCAGCACAACGTCCCAGGCCTCTCTGGACACCACTGCGCGCGGCCCGCCGCTCAGGATCGCGCTGAAGACCTCCTGCGCCCACCCGGTCTCGCCCTTCTGCGCGCACAGCCGCAGCACCTCGACATATGTCTCCAGCTCCGGCGCCAGTCGCTCCTCGTCCACCAGTCTCTCGTACCACTGCCGCGCCTTGCGCACCTCCCCGCTCCTGCAGTAGAACCTGACGACAGGCCCCATCATCCCGGCGGTGACCACCGGATTGCCCTCCCGCACGTCCTCCCACATCTCCGCCAACTCCCTCTCGTTCCCCTCCGCCTCCAACCCCCTCATCACCGCCTCCCAGCACCTGAGCGCCGCCTTCCCCCTCAGCACCCCCTCGCTCGCATACTTCCTCGCCACCTCCGCCGCCTCTCCCGCACTCCCGCACCCCGCCAGCACGCCCACAAACACCTCCACATCCTCCCCCGTGTGCTCCGCCAGCCCCGCAAACAGCATCCTCGCCAGCCCAGCCACATGCGGGCTGCCACTCCCACCGCCGCCGCCCTGCAGCGCCCGCACAGCAGCCCTCACATCCTCCGCCGGGATGTCGCCGTTCAGGTGCTGGTACGTGCGCGCCAGGCCGTGCGCATGCTCGTCCGTGATTGTGCCCGCCGCCGCCGCCGTGCGCACCACATCGCGGAACGCCGAGACCAGCGTCTCTGCCGGCGGGGGACGGCCCTCGTGCGTGTTGAGGGTGCCGACCAGCTTCTCGATCGTGCTGATGCCCGGCGGCGGGGGCTTCGGCAGCGCGCGGGAGAAGCCGAGGAAGGTTCGTGTTTGGAGGTGGTGGTGGTGGTGGTGGGGGGGGCGGAGGAGCGGCCGCCGGAGGAGGTGGAAGAGGCGGGGTGGGGCGGGGCGCATCTGGATGGATGGTGGGTGGGTGGGGGAGGCTCTGCGATGATCTTGGAGTTATTGGAGGCCCCTGTCGAGGGAGGGTTGGGTGTCGGGTTCAATTCGTGGTTTTGGGGGGATGGATTATATAGTGAGGTCAGTGTGGTGAGTGGAGGGAAGGGCGTTCGTCGCAGGTAGGGAGGGAGGGAGGGCTGTAGATTGCTGCAGGTAAGGAAGGGAAGGGCATCAGGTGTTGAAGATGTCCAGGCGAGAGTGATCGTGAGAATGTCAAGTCCCAACGCTCAACAATCCCGGACATGCGCAAAAAAAAAAAAAAACATCACCATTTCACTTCTCATGATCAATTGCGGCCAAGACCCAACATAATTGGGGGGGGGGGTTCTTGACATTTTCAGAACTGGCCAATTAAAACAGAGGGAAATTGCATCACATGTAATCAACGGCGCAAAAGATCACAGGACATGACTCGGTATAAGGCAAACACCATTGGCCCTGCCTGTGATTAAGCAATTGATAGGGATCAAGAGGCATTGATACCGGACATATTAATAATACCTACAAAAGTAGAGAACTCAGAAGCCCAGCAAATGCACACTACGCCACTCCACTCACAGTGCCAGTAAGGTCATTGCAACAATTGGCTATAGCCAGTATAAGGAACTAAAATCAGTGAGAGAGTATTTAATACGAGCTAGCTACATGTACTGTGCAAAGAACCCAAAAGGGAAAAAGCAAGCCAGCCAGACATTAACATCACCGTCATCTCAAAAAAATAAATCGTTGCAGAGGCATCATCATCATCATCATCATCATCATCATCTCCCAATCATTTGAGGACTAGTAGAAGGAATAAAATAGACCGGGAAAAAAATAACAAAAATAAAACAGAATTCAAAAAGCCAAACCAAGGGTGTTCATAAAAAATAGGAAAGAATAAACCAGGTTAGAAAACACCAAAACTACCCCAAATTGAGTGTGTAAAAAAAAAAAAAAAAAAAAAAAAAAGATAAGAGGAAAAGAACAATAGTCTATAAGATAGGATAGATAAGATAAATATAAAAATGCGGCATAAAAGGGGAAGAAAATCATAACAAGTAGCCAGCCCTGATCCATAGCCAAAAGCGACCATTAACACCGCAAATTGCAATTGCAATCGTAACAATTGTCCATCGCTATACCCTTCAAAAGAAAAAAGGGCGCAACAGAATCTCAAATAAAAATAAAATAAAAATAAAGGCCCAAAGAAAGAGAACTATATACCCTCTGGTAGTTCAAATCCCAACAGCTCCGTCTCCAAATACGCCACCAACGCCTGCGCCTGCGTCTTCAATATCCCCAAGCTACCACTCCCCGCCACACTACTCCCCACACTAGCGCTCCCCGCGCCGCCTCCACCGCCGCTCCTCGGCACACTCCCGGTCGCCGCCGCCTCCCCCTCCTGCGAATGCAGGCTCGACGAGCTGCTATTATGCCTTGTCGGCTGCTTGGGCCCAATCAGGCACAGCAGCACGCCCGGAACCACAACCTGGATGTGCAAGTTATAGTCCGACAGCTCGAGCGTCAGCGACTTGAGGCCCTGTGCAGAAGGACCACCTACTGCACCACCACCACCTCCGGTGGTGGGCGCGGCGGCGGCGGCGGCAGCGGCGGCATCATCTGACGGGGTGGGCAGCGATTGCTCAATCACGCCCTGGACCGCGACTCGGTCATAGGCGCTCCAGATGTTTGCGGCGAGGGCCGAGTAGGTTCGTGATTTGCGGGCGTCGGGGGCCGTCGGGGAGGTGCCTGTTGCGAGGAGGGAGCCTGTGGGTGTGAAGAGTCTAGTGAGGGTGAGTAGGTAATTTGTTAGTTTTTTTTTTTTATTGTATTATGTTTGTTCGTCGGGGGAGAGGGTTTACGGGGGGAGGATTGGGAAGGGTTTGTGGAGGCTTACAGCGCGGAGGAGACGTTGGGGGAGATGGACTGGGAGAGGAGCTGGTTGAGAGGCTTGGTTTTAAGCATTTTTCTTGGAGCTGCCTGTGCCTGTTCCTGTGCCTGCCTGCAGAAGGGGGAAAACGATTGTGGTGTGTGGTGTGTGCGTGGTGCGTTTGTGTGTGTGAAAGGTAGGAGCTGCTGCTTGCTGCTGAGCTGAGCTGAGCTGAGGGATCGCCTGTGGTACGTTCGTTCGTTCGTTTTTTTTTTTTTTTGGAGGGGAAGGTGAAATGTGAGGTGTCAAGGTGACGTGAGTTGGGGTTCCGCTTTCTTTCCTTTCTTTCGTTGGTTGGGTTGCGGTTTGAGTGAGGGCTTGGTGGGTTGTGATTGATGATTGACGATTGATGATTGATGGTGGAGAGATAGATCGATAGACGCAGCGACGTAGTAGACAGGGCAGCAGTATGGAGACGTATACCGAGACAGGTATGTATGTATGTATGTATGTATGTATGTATATGATATCAGCCCCCAAATTGCATGAGAAGGGAGGAATTCACAGCACAGAGAATAAAGCAGCAGGCAAGGGGATCCAAAGAGAAAAAGATGAAGCAGATGATGGGAAAAAAAACCCAAGTTAAAGGGGGGGGGGAAGGGGGGGGAGAGGAGAGGAAAGTTAAGAGCTCTTAGCTGCTACTAATGTATTCTCTCTCTCTCTCTCTCCGTCTGTCTTCTCTTTCCAGTATTATTCTCCCACTTACTCACTCCACCACCACCATCACCCCCCTCCCTGATCAGCTCTGTCCATTCATCCCCTCGGATGTTTATTTATTTCTCCTATTACATACTTAATATACATAATACATACATAATATAATAATAAATCCTTCCTACATTCTATCGTATCCTCGCCGGGTGTGGGACCACGTTCAGTGACGAGAGGCCTACGAGAGAAACTCAACCATTCAACCCAAAGCACTCAAACGGTAGTTATATATGTATGTACCTCCATACCGGAGCTGGTAGTCGCTTGCGGGCAAGTGATGCTCATTAGGTACTCTACCCACGAAAGAACCGGGGCCGGTGGTAGGTGCTGGTGAAAAGCAGAGGGAGAGATAAAGAGAAAGAAGAAGGAAAAAAAACAATATACGCGGTTAAATAACTCTCTCCCCCTAGCTCTCTCCTCACATGAGACCCTTCAAAGAAAGAATTTCTTCACAAAATTTCACCATCGCTAGAAGGACCGTCGAATGGATTAAAAGTCGCGCACAAAGCAAAAAAAAGTGTGGCTTTTCCCAGATCTCATTCTTGGCGCTGGGATGTGGACCTGGTAATGGTAGGGTTTCCCATGTCGACTTCCATCTGCCATGTGCAGCAGCTGTGTTGCGGCGACGGCACCTGCCTACACACTGGCACTCACGCTGTAGGGGGAAAAAGAATTCCCCGTACATACCGCGCAAGTAAACCTTTTTTTGCACAACTCTCCTACCGAGAAGACCATCTTAAATGCCAGCGCCCGCCCAAAGTGTAACCAACATTCCCTCAGAAATTTGCTTATTCCAGTTCCAACGGAGAGGAGAGTCCAATTTAATTAGATTAATCTGTAGGTTCCATCAACATTACTTCTTCCTTGTTCACCTTCGCCTTCTTTTTCCGCGCAATCAAATAAGCTTCCTTTGAGCCCTACATATGCCTGTTTAATATCTACCCCAAAAAGTTGTGGTTCCAAGGGGTCAGAAATAGCAATACCAGGGAAGGATAACTTACCGATCTCGAAGACTTTGGTTTGTTTATTTCAACATACCTATATACTTGACTAAACTTTTTCTTCAAAAGCTCAGAATCCCCGCTCATGTAAAACTTGCATACAAAAGACCCTCCTGGTTTAAGGACATCAATGCTGAAGGCAAGCGCCGAATTGCAGAGTCTCTACGTGATCCCGTGGGAGGCCCGTTAACAGATTTCACCAGCTTACAAGCGCAAAAGAAGAGGAACGGAGGGAGAGGAACAAACAATACTCCCCACTTGATCCCTCAAAGTGTTTCCAGATGTTGTCATTAACCTATAAGGGCGTGCTAAGCTCATCTTGGACAATCCTTCTACCATGAGAAAGGGCTCTAACATATCACTCAAGATCACATCCACCGAGTTCTTCCCGTCTTCTGTATCTCCAGCTTTTGCAGCCCATTCCTCTTCATCTTTCATCATTGCCCGTTCCTGCTCGATATATGTCTGGCTTGCTGCCTCCACCTCGCCCTTCACCGCACCTTCTTCGGTGGTAATTTGTGGTCTCAATGGTCGCCCGCGTCGAGGATTGGCAAGAAACTTCTTCATTTCTGCCTGAATCCGCGGCCTGGTGAAATCGCCCTGCATAGTTGAGGCGCCCTTGGGAGGCAGGGCGGGAATGATATCGATACCGAGAACGCGGCCATATGGGGCAGTCCTACTTACTGCGACCTGGAAGAGTAAGATAAGCCTCTAGTCCCCACCCAAGGTAAATGGTGCATACCTGTGTCCAAGAACCCGGGGCATATCCCTACATGATCCAAACACACATTAGTTGCCTGTCTATCTCATTCCTCATACTCAGGACAAACCTACTAAATCAACCACTGTCTGTCCGCTCTTAAATATTTCATACTTCGCGTTGATCTCCTCTAGCTTAATTCCAGCCCTACTTCTTAGCCCCTTAAGCTCTGCCAGCTTATTCGCAGGATCGTTTTTCTGTCGCTCCAGCCATCGTTTCGAGGATGAGCTTGTAGCGTACCGTACTGGTTGTGATAGCGATGTTGCGATTGAAGCAGCAGGCGCATGCTCAATAACGTTTCGTCGCAAGCTGGGTATAATAGCAGAACAGATATTCCGTAGGATGCGCTGTGATCTCATCATTCCTCGTATATCTCGAATGATCCAGTGAAGTTGAATCCGACCAATTTTTTTTTTTTTTACTCTGTGACGAATGCGGCTCTGTGCAACGTGCAATAATCCCTGTGTGAACGCTAGCATCAGCACGGCCTAGCGTACCGTCTTTCGTCCAACTAACAAACAGCCCGCCGCAACTAGCCACCAAGGTGTCGGCGGGCATAATTCCGAGACACACACAAACCAGCAGCAGCTACTTTAGGTAGAGGACCTACTATTCGTGATAATAATATTACCGTGACCTAAAAGTGGGTCTCCCTTCCCCTTCCCCTCCCCCTCCCCCCTCGAATTATTGCCCGAAAAGAGCGCACAAGTATCACAACAACAACACAACGCGCAGTTGTCTTTTGATAAGTTGTTCTTATATTAAGGCTATTAATATATTATTGTTGTACGTCGGCAGTTATTTTCTTTCGACATCTTCCATCGCTATCCACTCACAGTCTCGAGAATGGCACGGGGTCCCCCTCCTGCGCGGGATAAGCACAATTAACAAAAATAAAAAAAAAAATAAAAAAAAAAAGATCCACCCTCGAGGATGGTATGGAGTTTCATACTGCGGGGTATGTATATTATATCCGGAAATTATCCCCCTCTTTGGCCCATCACCAGTCTAGTATTCTACTCGTGCTCCGGAGGAGGGGGGGGAGAGGGGGGGGACTCTACTCTTCATTCAACTATTATTCGTCAGTGATATGTATAAGCCCGGGCGAGCACATAAAATAGGAAAGACACTTCTAACCAACAGTTCCCAATAAACGACCTTGGATTGGCCGAGCGCGGTTGGGACGAACGTGTCCTTATGCAGTCATTTTATAGTGTGTTTTTCTTTCTCTACGGCTCGAGTGATAATTGGTGAATATGGATGGAGCTGCCCGAATATCCCGGCGATGACTCATGTCCTGTGGGGGGGAGGGGGAGGGGGAGGAGGGTGAGGGTGGCGGGGCGGAGTACATAGAATATGACAAACAATGAAAGTCAATGAGGTGATGGCCGAGGGTGATTGGTCGTAGTAGCTCATTGGGTGGCTTGTTGGTCCCCATTGGGTGTTGATAATGTGCTTGGGCCTGTATTCTCCAAGTCTGTTTGTGAGACTTAACGGTTTGCTCCTACCACCTTTTGAAATCATGGCACTTGTGAACTCTGTGGCCGGATGCCTGGGCTAATCAGCAGGCTGAACCTTCTGCGAGTGATAACTTATGACGCGACCTTGAAAGCCTGCGACCTTTTTAGCTCAGGAGGGTACCTGGAAAACAATGGATTTAAGAATAACTTTGTCCTAAATAAAGAATAATAGGCTAGGTGCGTTTTAGGTGTTTAACCACGTATACTAAGTACTGCCATTTCTACTATAGTCAGATAGTCATATGTCAACAGAGCTGATTCTATTCCATGGTTAAGAGTCAGCTAACTCCACAATTCTGCGATAATAAGGAAACCCGGAAGCAGCTCTCCATAGGCCAAATACGTCTTGTCTGATTTTCAAGATTCGGCTTTGTCCTATAAGCTCAAAACCGCTTGTCATGTCAGCCAGCAAGAGCGTGCATATGTGCTCTAATTGAACAACAGGACTGAAAATGACAGTAGTAGAAAGATCGTATTCAATTGCATCGATGATGTCTAGCACTTTTCTCGCTCTTTATCCTCCGACAAAAGTTGCCACTACTTATATCCTTTTTATCACTCGCGTTAGTATACTTGCGTGTCCTCACGTGTTTACGCTACATGTAATATCGTGTCTGCTGAGCCACACCTCACGTTTGTGTTAATTCTACAGGGGCCAATTACCAAAGTCTCTGTCCAAACACACAACAAGCCAATGCCACAGGCCGGCAGCCTGAGTTCCTGAGTTCCTCTAACTGGCATCTGGCGATCAAAACCAAAACCACACACGTCTTGGCACAGCTCCCAGTTGCTATAAATTCAGCTTTCCAGGTAGCGCACCTTACCTCTCGATCTCCCGAGTCCCCTGGGCTCCCGATCAAATCCCTTATCCGAATTTGGGAACAGTGGCTCTTGAACCGGTTTCCCCGTTTCTGTTTTTGAGGACAGGGGCCGGCGAAGTTACAGTTGGGTGATTGGTGGAGGGTTAGGGTTTTTTTTTTTTTAGTGTTCTTTTTAGTAGATAATCTTTTTTGTAAATGGAGTAGTTTTTTTTTCACATAGATGATAAATATTTTCAATCAATTGCTCCCCCCCCCCCCCCAGCTTCTTCTTCCTCAGGTTCTTTCTCCCCTTCTACCTTGTGTGTGCAAAAGTATCAATGGGACTGTCTTTTTGGGGCTTCCTTACCTGCAACTCACAAAGACAATCAACAATGACATCAGTACTGCTTAGATACATGTATATTATGTAGGCATTTGTCTGAGCGACTCACAACCGCAGAGCTAAAGGGGCTTTACCGCCACCACAGATCCCCTCCCCATGCCCTGCAAGTCACAATCACAGTACATCACTCGCAAAAACCCACACCACACATCACTTCCAACTAAGCAGCAGCAGTCAGCCAGCAAATCAAGTATATCATTACTACCCTACCACGCGTACACAACCTCCTTCCTCCCGACCTATACAGTAGCGCCCGCTAACCAAGTAACAGGTATATATACTCAAGGGGCCCAAGTAAAACAGTTTTTCAAAAAAGGAGAAAAAAAATCATTAACGTGATGTAATCATGATCTTCATAATACCTTCTTCCCCTACCCCCTCCCCCCATTTTTTGCTCTGTATATATGTAATGATTTATCTACCTCCTCCGCCTTCCCGCCTAGCCACTACTTTTACAGTCCCCAACTACGTAGAGCTGGAAACACGAAAGAGTCGAAAGAAAAGAAAAAGAAAGTAAAAAAGGAGAAAATATTCATCACATCAGATCATGACCATTTGACACCTAGCAACCCACTAAACTATCTTCCTAGTGCCTGCCTGCGCCTGGCACTGTCTGCCCTTATCCCGAAGGGACCTCTCGACAATTTAGAGGGAAAGAAAAAAAAAAAAAAGAAGAAAACGCGATGGGGAAGAAATATTTATCATAAGAAGTGAAAGTATGGGAGGGGTGTAGTAGTAATAGTAGTGGAGGTAGGTTTATCATGGTAGTAAAGTAAGGTAAAAGTAAAAGGGTTGATCGTTAGAAGTGAAGGGGAGAATAGTTCATGAAAGAAAAAAACAATATAGCCAACCAACCAAACCAGACCATAACCCGGAACCCAAACAGGATAAATACAGAAACGACAGTCATAATAACCCTCAACACCCGAGAGAAGTAACAATATATCAAACTCGTTGAGTAGTCAGTGCTGAAAAGTGATGAAAATAATCTTCCAAATGGGGGGTGAAAAAACTCCGTTGTACAAAAAAAAAATAATACCCTTTGGACAAATCTTGTGTAAAAAGAAAGAAAAAGTCCCTTTAAAAAGTAGTAAAACCAACAAAAGAAAAGAAAAAAAAAACACCTATTCAGAAAAGAAATAAAAACCCCTAGTAGAGGGGCAGAGGGGAAAAGTAAATCCCAGGAATATGCACCCTTATTCATAAGAAAAGAAAAAATCAAGTACAGCCCCTCATTTTTTTGCCCCAAGTTTAAAAACGAAGAAGGAAAAGGAAAAGAAAAGCAAGAGGTAGAAAACCCCCAAACACAACTTTTCGACCTCCCAAAATAAAAGGAATCTCGAAGGCAAGGAGGACTTGTACCCCGCCCAAACATTCTCTCAATTCATCCAAGATGTTGAACCAAAAGATTCTTCACAGTATCTCCTCCTCCTCCTCCTCCATCCTCCAATCATCCCGACAGAGCTCAACTTCAGTGCTATTAGAAACCCCCATAACTTCATCCTCCATGACGAGCACCGAATCGTCCGGGCCCCATAGACCTTCGAATATCGTTGCAGGGGTTCTCCTCCTTCCATGAACCCAACGCAATTCGTTCATTTCCAAGAGATCAGAAACCCTTGGTCGTTTACTTGGATCAGCGTTTATCATCCAGCCGACAATCTTCTCAAGGCCACTATCCGCCATGAACTGGGGTGGATAAACAAGATCTCCGTCTCTTGGGTCATGAAGGAGAACCCTGCCACGAGGCCTTCTAGATACTTTAGGCTGCTGGCCAGGTACCTTCTTAGAGCGGAGATATTGTGTGGTCGGGGGAGAATCGTTAGCCCTGTCGGTATCCATAATCTCGAGTATTTCGGTGGAGACTGGGTTTCCTCTCTCGTCGCGGTGTACAAATTCTCCAGAACGGCTAGTGGACAGCTTTGGGGCTACAGTGATATCCCCGTCTCTGAGTCTCTGCCAATCAGGTCCATTGGGCGGGAGGTTCTCATTTCCGGCGACCTCAATGATTGTAAGGCCAAGGGCAAAGATATCAACAGGTTTATCGTATTTAGCTGAGTTGATGACCTCGGGTGCAATGTATCCACGGTCTCCTTCGCGTTCCAGTCCCCGGATGGCTGGCCACCTCGCGGCCATTCCAAAATCACTGATTTTAAGAGTTCCATTGAAGGCGATTAGAACATTCGCAGGCTTGAGATCTAGGTGCATGAATCCAGAATTGTGGATATGTTGGAGACCCTAGATATATATTTGTCAGCAAAACGAATTTGGGACTATTTTGGTAGTGCTACTCACCAAACAGAGTTCCACAAGTACCTTCCACACACGGAATTCATCCAGCCTCCCCTTGTGTCCATGCTGAGACAGAAACTTATCCAGGCCCCCATTTTCACAGTATTCAGTCTGAATATAAAGGTGCCCATTCTCCTCCCAAGACTCCACAAACTTGATCACGTGATCATGCTCCCCAAGATCCCTGAGAATATCGACTTCCTCCATACGTCTCGCCCTTCCATGGCTGCTGAGAACCGCCGACTTTGACTTCTTGACGGCATACATTTTCGGCACAGGGCCAGTGGCCCTCAAGGGGGATGATCCAAAGGCAGAAGAGCGGCTAGGAGTGGCCAATTGAGGCGTAAGCGGTGGATCGAGTGAATCTATAAACGGATGACGTTTGTGCCCATCTCCTTCTCTCTCCACGACCTGATAAACCTCCGAAAACTCTCCAGATCCAATGTGCTTTACCTCAGAAAATCGCTGAACAAAATCATCAGACACTTGTATAGTTTTGCCATCTATCGACTGTACTGAATGGGTAAGAGGGGAGGAGCCAAAGCCAACGTTCGAAGACGAAGCGGCAAAGAAATCTTTCATTGGACTAGGAGTGGCTGGGGAAATGGTTTTACTCGCGTTGTTGGCACGCCCAGAAATCGATAAACTACTGGGGTCAGGGGGAACTATATTATCTTTCGGTGTATGCGGGGAGGTAGAAGTGGTTACATAGCGTCCATGTAACCCGTCAGCTGTGATGGGTTTATTAGTGTCTTTATGTGGAAGCTCGCTGTCGTCTTGCGGACGAGAATAGCTACTATACTCACAGCTCGTATCAGTCCGTAAGCGTTTATTCGCAGCGAAAAATGCGCTTATGTTACCATGCGTCTTCTTCGTAGGAGTTGGGGGTAGTTCGTATTCGCCAAGGTCATCTCCGTCGTCGTTGCTCATGGTGCTATTCTTTCTTGCCAGAGATTTTCTTCCTTTGATATATCCTGCGGGGGTTGAAGAGCTCGAAGCAAAATCGGACATGGACATTAATCCCCGGCCTTTCCCCGTGGTTCCTTTGGACTGGGCTGCAGACTGAGAAAAGAAAGGAGCAGTCGGCTTCTTGCACGGTGTGTCTGGCTGAGGGCCATGTTCCTTCCCTACGGTGTCGAGACGTCCACGTTTTGTAACAAAGCCAGTTGAATGGAACGCAGCGGGAAATGGTTTGGCAAGCTTATAGTTCTGCGGGGTGCAAAGACCCATGCTTTCCTGGCTAGTAGGTGGCTCCTCATCACTCGACTGGGGTAGCGGGCGAGACGGCTGCGCTGCATTTCCATTGAAAGGATGGCTGGAGGCACTGGGCAATGGATCAGCATTGTTCCCAAACGGCGAATCTTTCGAATCTTTCGAGAAATTCTCAACCGAGCCTGTCCTACGTAATTTCGCAGCATCTGCGGGAGGAAGAAACTCAGGCTGGTTCCTCGCCTGGGGCCTCGTCTTTGCAAAGTTCGGTTTCTCGCCAAGGAGGTTACTGCTACCCATGCTTTTTCTAGTAGCGTAACGTTTTGGTGACGGTGACTTTGTGGAGCTAAAGGACGAGTTCCCAAAGACAGGATTCGTAATTCTGAGTGGCCCAGAGACAGATCTGCCCTTGGCAGCAGGCGACGCCCGACCGATATCGTTGAGATTCATTGCCCCGTCGCTGCGTTTGAGCGGACTTCCGTTGGCTGGCTTATGCAATTCCTTGTTCTCGACACCAATCCCTGCGCGGTTCTGTCTCTGAATGGCGAGCTTGTCACGTGTATTGGTGGAGCGTGCTGGGCTTGATGAGCTAGATCGCAATGTCATCCCGCTTGAGTTCATGTTGTTGTGTGTAGTAGTTGTGAGGGGTCGAAGTTTTGAAGGGCTGTCCGGAAGCAAGGTAGACTCCCGGGGGGTTGCAGGTATAGAGCTCTGGCGGCGAGTTGCACTCCTTGTTCTTGCAACAGCGGTATTTGCTAGTGCGAGAGTGAAAGGTGCTGAGAAGGTTGGTAAAGCTGACAAGACGGGTAAATCAGGTGGCGGGGAAGAGATGAGTGGTGATCGAGAGTGAGCGCGCGGAAATAAACTTGCTATATCGCCGTGCTGGCGATGGGGTGAGCAAGACGCGACCATGATACAGCGGCTGTCCAAATCGCAGCAGCGCCTGCGATTAGAAGTCAACGGCGTATGATGCGGCTACTAGATGGATTGCCGGTGGTTATGGTAGTAGAAGATGGGGGGGGGGGGGGGGAGGCGGCTGATGGATGACGATAGAATGTTTACAAAAGGGTCGGGGGTGGTGGTGGTGGTGGTGTGGGGTTTTGATTTGGGGGGGGGGGGGGGGGGGGAGAGTTAATTGATCGATGGTGGTGGATGGTGGATGGTGGTGGTGGATGGTGGTGGTGGATGGTGGACGGTGGATGGTGAGTAAGGGAGGGAGGGAGGGAGGGGTAGGTACTGTAGCTAGCCTGTTGTGTAATGCAGCGGAAGGAGAAAAAAGTTTAAACGTTGATAAGGCGCGGCCGCTGGGCGGGTGTGGGCGTCTGGTGGTGGGAATGGTGGTGGTGAAGGAGGGTAAGGTTAAGGACGAGAAGGGCGCGATGTGAGAGGACGAGCAAGATGTCGTCGCGAAGCAGCAGGAGGAGCAAGGTGTGAAGGGTTGCACCCGTTATTTGCTTGTTGCCTGTTACTTGTTGCTTGTTGCTCGTTGCTTAGTACGGCGGCCACTATTCGCTGTGATGCTGCTTAGTCGTGTTGACAGACTGCTGTGGAAGAGGTAGGGCACTAGGAAGAGGAACGCGTTAGCTGCCACTGCCAGTGCTGCTGCTGTTGTTGCGCTGCTTTTTTTGTCCTTTGCCCTTTTCAGGGGCGGGGAGTGAGCGAGTGGTGGATGGTGATGTGAGTGGGACAGAGACAGTCTACTTAGACAGTGTGGTAAGTGGGAGAGAGAAAGCAGAAATTGGCGATCGGTCCAGACAGGAAACAACCCTCTACCACAGCACACTGGCTGATGACTGACTGACTGCACTGCACCACTGCTGGTGCTCTACCACTGCCAGTGCAAGTTGAAGTGCCCCAACCCCAGGAAGAAGAGGAAGAAGACGAAGACTCTAGGAAGAAAAAGCCCTGCACTCGCGCTGCAAGACTGGCCCGTGACCCAATCACTGCTCTTCTTTGTGCAACCCTGTACAGGCTTATGCAGATGCTATTCCTCTTCCTCTTCCTTCTTCTTCTCTGCTTCTGTCTTGACTCTCTGCCTGCTGCTGCTGCTGCTGCTGCTGCTGCTTGCTGATTTTGAAGACTGTCTACCCCAACCACCCAGCCACAGCTCATCCACCCACTAACGCTCACTGAAGTCTGACGCACTCTCTCGCTCGCTCACCACACGTACCAGCCAGTGACACTCACGAACCACGAACCACGACTGCACTCCACAACAACAAACGAACGCGTGGGGACTCACAACAACCTCACCTCACCTGACCACGTGAAGCGAATCTCTGCTCTAGCAACAACCCCACAACAAACAAAACCCGCTGTTTCGTTTCGTTTCGTTTGACACACCCCGGACAAAAAAAAAAAAAAAAAGGGCTCTCGACGACAACTACCACAACGTTCTCAATCGCAACCGACCGGAAGAAACGGAGAAAAGAAAAAATCGAAAAAAATTTTCTTTTCACACCAAAGTATATGCAAGTACTTTCCCGGCTATTTATAAATGTTCATGTAGCAGAATAGCTTTTCCCAAATTGAAAAAAGCCCGTTTTGGTGATAATGTATGATCGAGTTCAAACCCGCGAGATGACTTCATCCGAACCAGTGGTCGAAGATAATGGGCTGTGGCGAAAAAAAAATAAATAGACGAAAACTGAATATCTAGACGAAACTCAATAAATGAATTAAAAAAACAGACTGCGTTCAACGTTGCTGTCACTATTTCGGTCCTGTCAAAGGGCGACGATAATACTGATAAGATTCCAGTTGTTTCGAACAGGTCAAGCCTCGAATGCTGCACAGCAACAGGAATAGTACGATAATAATACTTGTGGGGGAGAGGGGAGAGAGAAAGAGAAAGATAATAACGAGTCCACGAATAGGAGCCCGAGATGGGGAGAGGCAGGTAGAGTAGTGGGGTTTAGAGGAGGAGGGGACGAGGAGGTGTGGAGCGAGGGCCCAGAGAGCGAGAGGTCGAATAAGTAGTAATAGAATAGATGTATTCCGTTCTCTCAGAGTGACCATTCTTGCCTTTCCCTCTCTCTGCTGTGTGGATTGGGAATGCAGGAAGCAAGGAAACCCTTCCAATCGAGACTGAGGATGGAGAAAAGTCTCGAGAACGACGAGTTATATGGGAGAGATGCATGTGATGATCGCGCTTAAGTGCAAGCTGGGCAGACAAAATTGCCTCTGAAACAACGATGAATGTTGCTGTTGCTGTTGTATGTCTCTGCAGCTATCTAGAGTACAAATCCTCTCACTCTCCGCGCGCTTGAATGGCTAAAAGAATTATAAACATTTACGAGGATTAGTTTCACTCTTGTTCTTTCCCTAGTATTGCAATCGTAGAATCTATAGTGTTTCAACTCTTCATGAGCGCCTAGGCTTTGACATGGGTGTATAATAGATAATCTACAGATCAGAGAACGAAGATACCTACCTAAACCACTACATACTCTCCATGACCTTAGGTGACAACTAACGGCGGCTGTACCTACAAATAATTGATAGCGTGCAACTGATCATTGGCAAAGACAAGCTGCACTGCGGGATTGATAGGTCTACTATTCTACTAGGTATACGTATCTGTATTCCACCGTTTCGGTCGTTCTCAAAACAAAAGATACAAAAACAACAACCCTGCGCAATGTACAAGACTCGTTAAGGACGCGTAACCTGCCTCATGAGCAAGGCAATTTTACTCTGTGGGGAAAAAAAACAAGAGTTCGGGGAGCCGACGTTGTTGAATACTGTTTAGTTAATTAAATTTTAGTCTACCGGAATGTTCCTACTACTGATGATACCAATCAATTGCTACATGTATCGCTACAAATATTTGTAAGTGTACATACATGTATAATCTAAAAATTGCAGGAAGGCGACAATCGAAAGATGCCGGATAGCCTTATTTATAGAAAATAAACCTCCCGCGTTGTTCGGTCCAAGTTCCATATCACCCCCAATAGGATGAAAGGAGCGATCCCGAATAGTTGTATTTTCGATCATTGCTCGGCGATACCCCACCACATATATACTTTTCCAGCAACACACATATATGCATCTATTCTTTTGTTTATCACAATCTTTTGTTTATAAATCCCCCTTTCCTCCATTATGCACATTCCATGATACCCGTCACCTCGGATCGTGATAGCTTGGCAGGAATGAACGGGCAGACACCGCGTGTCCGGAACCAAGGATGCTCTCTACATCCACAGTGGCGAGCGCCGCGATGAGCAGCACCCGCAAGGCAAGAACTAGAGTAGAAGAAGAGTTGCATGGGTGGTATGTGCGCGCAGAACGTTCTCTGCGGCATGCGGCGTTATGTGAGATACACGCTAGGAGTAGCGTTCTTGTCCTGAACATCTACAAAAGTAGATGTTTGTATTGATACTTACACTCAGGCAGCCCACCCCCCCCCCCCCCCCCCCCCCTTTGTTATAGGGTGCGAGGAAAAAAATGTTCCCCCCCCCTTTTTCATTTTGAAGGAAGAGCCACCATCGAGATCCTGGGTGTGTTAAGTTACTCTACCTACATACATCGTACATGTGCACGCAGTGTCAAATGTATGTATCCGGGGCTTCTTTTTTTTTTCTTTAGACTAAGGCGAGAAATCGGATTATGATCAGCCAATCACTCCCCGACCCAGAAGATCGGAAACCCAGAAGATTGGGGTGCTGCCCTTTAGAAAGTGAGGACAGAGCAGTAACTTTTTTTTTTCTTGCCTTATGTAGCGCATATGCTTTGGATTACTCAATATTTCGCCGCGGGGGGAGTTAACTGACATCGATATCCGGCACGGATCCGAGCGATGAAGAAGCGATGGAGTGATGAGAGGTGATGGGGGAAGAGCAAGCAAGGAGGCAAGCAAGCACAGATCACAGCCAGGAGTCTGAAGAGATGATAGAGGGCAACGGTTGGTGAGCGAGGCCTCAGAAGAGAGCACGCTAACTACACTGTCTAGTCTCGTCTTGCCAAGATCAGCAAAGACGTCGCGGGACCCCAGCTAAACAACCGGGCCAAACAAAAAAACCGGTTGACGAAAGGTGTCAGGGCGTGCAGCCAACCAGACGAAAGAAACCCGCCAGCTCAGAACGAAAAGAAAAAGCCGGCATCTCGTTTAGGACGGCAGTAGTAGCATCAGCATCAGCAGCAGCAGCAGCAGCAGAAGCAGTTACAGAGAAGAGAAGAGGGGAAATGGAAGGATCAATGTGATACTAGCTTCTGCGTTGTCCATTCAGATGGCCTGGATCATGAGAAGGGAGGGTGGTGGTGGCCATGGAAGAAAATTGATTTTTTTTTTCTGTCTTCCCTAGAGCAGAAACACGTAACAGAAACACCGGTAACGGGACATCGAAAACCGAGATTCTTGAATACATGTATACACGGTTGAGATACCGGTATGGTATTCAACCAAGGTAAACATCGTTGAGAAAGCCGAGGTGCTAAATACTAGTGCAATACCTAAATGGGTACAACATGTAGGGACCTTGATCTGATCTACTATACTTGTACCTCCTACAATTTGTTTTAATGGATCTACGTAAAGGTAAATAATAAACATCAAACACTGAATTCCTAGCTGTAGACGTCAGTCAGAATTAAAGGTCCCTCCTCCATGATCACTTTTGGAGGATTGCATGAGATGTAGCTTCTCACATGGCTATATCTAAAGATCCCTAACAACATACATGTATCTTACTTATGCTCCCCATACATACGTGTACCGTACCTTTGGAGTAGAGACAACTTGTTCCTCATGATACACAAGGGACGCACATCTTAATCTTGATTCCCACTCACCCCTTCCTTCTTCTGTCGTGTTTAATCAATTCCCCCAAGCCTAGAAACACATCATCACCTCTATCTATCATCATCATCGTCCACACACAGCACCTTCTGCTTCTTATTCACCCCCCCCCCCCCCCCCCCCCCACTACCCACTACCCACTACCCACTATCCAGTAAACCGTTGTTCGTGCCATGCTATCCATGTAATCATCTTTCTACACCCGCTGGCCAATCCCAACAGTCCTTATCCTTCCGTCCGACTTAGTTGTGCTCACGTTTTCGGCCACCGCTACGTGTATCACCACCTATCTGCCTGGCCTACATCGTACATACATTCATTCCTTCAGGGTTGTTTTTTCTCCACCTGGCCGCCTGCAACTCGACAGCCCGCAGGTAAAACAGAAATACACCTGGAGAAAGAAAAGAAAAAAAAAAGAAGGAAAAAAAAGAACCCCTCCATATTGAAACGGGAAAGGAAATAGATCCCAAGTGTTTTGGGCATTGGAAGGAGAAAAAAAGAGCGGGGAATTATTCCAAACTTTGATTTGAAACCAGATTTTTTTTCTTCCCCAGAAAGAAGCAGAAAAAGAAAGAAAAGAAAAAAGCACTCTCCCTAATTCGTCGCTACGCAAGGATTTGACTGGTTACATACCCGAAGCACGACAAACAGCCGCGAGACACAGAGAAAGAAGAATCCCCAAAAATCTCATTCCTTACTGACCTTTCACTCTTCCATCCAAAATTAAGGAAATTATTCAAAGTAAAGAATTCAGTCCCTCAGGTGATTGCACACGTACATATACACACAAATTACAACCCCCACGCTATCTGTCAGAGCACTTCTCTCGAGCCCTTTCGTCAGGTTTGTGCTGTCTGCGACCGAACTCGACCGGCCCAAGTAACTCTGGCGTTCCGCAAGCTACCTCACCTGCATCCGCCACGCTGACCTCCCTTGCGTCCGCCGCCCCGACAACGAACGTACACTCAGACTGGACACACAGGTTCAGTTCCGGCGGACCTTTTCGAGAGCGAATACTGAATCCGATCCCCGTCCCTCCCGCGCGATACCTACACGGGTCATGTCGGCCACAAGGTTAGCAGTAAATAACAAAGAGCTCCCTGCAGGTGTCGGGGGAGGTGGAGGTGAGGTCGTCGTAGGCGGAGGTGACAGCACCAGCACCAGCAACACCACCAGAGGTGGCAGCAATACCGCTAGTGGAGAGGGAAGGACCCACGAGAGGAACTCCGCCGATTTGTTGGCAAGCATCGAGAAACCCTCAAGAGACTCCTCACCCATACGCAGGAATCTCTCAACTGCTGGTCTCGTAGACAATAATCTGGCTCCCCCACTACATAACTTCAACAAGAGGAGACCAGGCTCTGTAAGGTCTGCAAGGTCCGCCGCAGCTTCACGAGAAACCTCTCCAATACGTTCAATCTCAGCTGCGGCTGCGGCTGTGTTGAGAAATTCCCAACAGCCGGACCTCCAGCAACCACGTCCGCAACGGCCACTACCGAACACATCCCATTGGCCTAGCACATCGCGTTTAGGTCTGTCAAGATCGCCTCCCTCGGGTTCACAGTCACCTGCCCCGTCACCCCTCAAGTGGAACGAACCCACTATCACCCCAGCTTCTCTCCCACCATCCAGAGCATCGCTGCGAGAGAAAGAAGTTGCGGTGGAGGATACTGAAGATTCAAATCCACCATCCGGCATGAAGACTCCCAGAAGCAACGCCAGTCCCTCATTGGCGACGGTTGTGGAAAGCGTTTTGCCCAACAATCCAAACCAAGGGGCCAGTAAATCGTTGTCAGAACAGGTGGCAGCCCTGGTCGCCCGCCAATCAAACAATACCCACACAATTCATGAAGAAAGCGAATCAGAAGTTTCTGTCGAAACGGTCAAGGGGCGTGGCTCCAGAGCCCCGTCAATAGCTCCATCAATATCCTCATCAATAGCCCACTCACTGGCAGAATCCGAATCTGAGTCTGGGTACAAGAGTGAGGATAGATCCATCCATGGGACTTCCAGGGCACCACCTCCATCAAAAACGTTTAGTCGGCGGCCGACAGTGATGGGTTCCGATAACTTCTCCGGGAGGATGACGGTGGAGACGGAGACCGTCACCTCTGTGCCTCAAGTTGCTCTTGGTGCCGGAGTGATGCCAGGCGGGGCTAGCATCAGGAGTAAGAAGAGCACTGACACTATCCGACAGCCGAAAAAGAAAGACAAAAAGTTGTTGAGAAAGCCAGGAGGGGCAGGAAACAGTAACCGTACGTTATCCCCTGTATTTCCCTACATATGGATAAGATCATCACTAATATTATCTTTGACTACCACAGTGACTAGCAAGACTGATATCTTTGCTGCAAAAATTGCTGAAGCTGTTGATGAAGCAAACTCCTCCGACTCTGAGGAAACCTTCGTTTACGAATCTAATCCTCCAGAACCACCAACTTCTCATCATCGCCCAAGAGGATTTCACCACTCCCGAACACCGAGTGCCACATCAATACAAGGAGGACCGGACCCCAGAGGACAGAGATTACCATTGCTATCGTCTATCGATGGCAACCAGAGTAGTAGAGGGAAGGGGATGAAATTCGCCAATACTTCCAACAATAGTAGCAACCTAGGGAACGAAGTGCCTGCCGGAGATGGGGTTGGAAATGAAAGAAGCGCTGGGAGTAGCAGCTCAAGGGCCGGTGAAGCAATGATGAGCGGAAAGGACAGGGAGAATGGAAATACTAGGAACCAGAATGGACACAGGGCAATACTAGCCGAGGAATCTCCGTTTCATCATCACCCATCTCGCAAAGGATCACGACACTCTCTTGCTGGACAGCACAATTCATCAAAAACATCATCACACTCTAGTACCCCGCTAAATGGCTCCGCATATCGAAACAGTAACGCCCAAAAGAGGATTCCTCGCGCCATACAATCATATGAGGCAGATGTAGAGGCAGGCTTTGATGAAAGAGCACCGCTTATGTCACCCACTGGACGGTCGGGCCGTCGCCGCGACAGGGATCGTCCTCACAGACCTAACAGTGGATCACTTCTACAACAGGATTATATCCAACAACACCGTACCAGAGGCTGCCTCAGGACATATATCGGATGTATAGTTGCCGTTGCCGCCGTGATTTTGATCATGACTGGTGTCGGGGGATTCCTGTTTGCAACTACAAAGGCACTATTGGAAGTAAGAGTTCTTAACGTGACAGGAGTTCTAGTATCGAAACAAGAAATCATGCTCGATCTGGTTGTTGAAGCTATCAACCCTAACGCGATCCCGGTTACCGTTGGAAATATGGACGTCAACCTATTTGCGAAGAGTTCTTATGTGGGTGACAGGAAAGGGAAAGATGGAGAGGAACCTGGAGAAGGGGGAGGAGATGGAGATGGAGATGGAGATGGGAGTGGTGACGGTGACGGTGATGCGGATGATGGTAAGCGGAGTTGGTGGGGAGGCAGAGGGAGGAAGGGCAGGACAGAAGAAATCATCATTTCGCAGAGGGGATACAGCTCCCAGCTCTCGATTAGAGCCCATCCGAACGGTAACGTCGATGAGGGAACTGACCCCCCTGAAGATCTCCCTGAAGGAGGGGACCGGCAAACCATGCTTCTTGGACGGATCTACAGCTTCGACTCGGCACTCACCTTTGAACCTTCCCCACTCCGGCACAAAACAACGATTTCAGTTGGTGAATTGAGGTTAGCTAAGCCCGGAAACAAAACCGAAGAAGGCGGAACAGAGAGATGGGAAAGAGTCTTGCAACACCCCTTTGAATTGATCGTTAGGGGTGTGCTGAGATATCAGCTGCCGTTGAGCGGAAGGGTCAGGACAGCGCCAATCGGGGCTTCCGTGATAGTTCATCCGGACGGGTTGCTGAAGACGAATTTAAAGAACAATAATGAATTTCACGATGACGATATACGAACGGATAAATAGGTCTGGGGGTGTTCTTCTTTCTTTTATTTTTTATGGCTTGGTCTGTGGGGGTGGTGATTTGAATAAGTGGGTGTTCTTCTGTTTTTGTCTTTTCTCTGGTGCTGGATCGGTTTCATTTGTCTTTTGCTTCTTATAAGTATTTCTATTTCTAAATCTCCTACTTTTCATTGAAAAAAATAAACAAGGCGCGAAGGAAGATTGGTTTATTCGTCATAGCATGGGTACATCAGACTATTGAGATGGAAATAATCGACAACGGCTGGCGGGGAAAGCATGCATATTAACTGTTCGAAGATCGCGACTTTGAGAAAAGAAAAGGGGTTTTGTATGTGTATTTTTTTGTTCTTAGTTTCTTTCTTCGTTAGAGGTGATTTGGAGTGTTTTTTTGTTTTTTTTTACTCTTTCTCATGGCTACATTTTTTTACGTTTTTCTCCGATGTCGTTATTCCATGGTTCTTATCATACCCATTTTATTTTACTGTGAACTTTGTTTTGTGTCGTATCTGAATTGTTTGTAATCTTGTCGACGGCTCATGTGTACTGGTACGAAAAAGGAGTATCCTTTCGCCTCTCTATATTTTAGGTTCTTTAGTTTCTCTATTTTCATGAGTTTCATAACCCTTCACTTTATTCTTTGCCTCTTACTTACATACTGAGCGCGTACAAGACATAGTGTAATTTGTGAGTGTTTGTGTGTGTGTTGTGTATGCTATTGTTCGAGGAGCGAGAAAATAAGTAAATACCGACCCAAATCTAACTTGTTCTTTTTTGGAGACCTACTACACCTATCTATCTACATATTTCAATGCCATAACCCGTACCTCTCTCAGTGGCATTAAAGGGAACGGCGTAAACAATTCCAGTAACTATTTCGAGGTCTCTCTCCCGCACTAGGTTTCAAGAGTAGTACCGGCCGAGCCAACCAAGGACAGGGATAAAAGAAAGCCATGGATTTATCAGTTACACAGACCCAGCCAGTCGGGACATCACTCACAGAAAGTAAAAAAAAAAAGAGTCCATGAATCTGAGTACTCTACCCTAGGCATAGCCAGATGAATGCGGGAATCTCAGCTAGGCAGACTCGTGGTTTGTCTAAGACTTCGAATCATGGGACGTGTGGCCCGCGGAAGAAGAGTAGGAGGTGGTGGTGGTGGTCACCGGTGGAGGGTTGTGTGTCAGTTCGGTTGACGAGAATCAATCATACCAAACTCCTGACGGTCCTGCGCTGAAACACAGCTATCGCGATAGTCATCAGTATCGTACCCACCAACAATGGTTGCCTATTGACGATATTGATAATAATTGGAGGATTACCTAAGACTGCCCTTTCTGGCGAGGCAGTACAGTCGTTCGCCGATATAACGAATGCCAAAAAAGCCACAAATTTGCTATAACGAACGGGTTTCGGTGATCCGAATCTAAATTTCACATAGAAACTTGCCTGCTATACCGAATAATCTACTGTATCGAACGGAAAACTTTGGAATATGCACGTTCGTTATATCGGCGGACGACTGTACTTTAGTACTCTAGGCCATGCAGAGTAAGCTCTAAATTCTAATATAAGCAGGCGGCATGTTCCGGGTCACGGATTATCACTCGTGGACTTGTGCTGCCTTCAAAAAAAGAAAGCTACAGTCGTTCACAGGGTGAGGACGAACACTGGGTGTAGACGAACAGGGATTTTTGGACGATGGGAAAGATCGCTTTGGCAGCTTGGCTGTTTCTTGCCATATTAAGAGTCCTGGTTCGTCTTCACCCAGTGTTCGTCCTCACTTCGTGAACGACTGTACCTATCCCTTCGTCTGCTGCCCCCCCCCCCCAAAAAAAAAAAGCAATTGTGTGTGGCTTTACTAACAGATCCTGTTATCTCTCTTATCAAATAATAGATCTCCCATACAAATTTAATTCCTGTATTATGGGGGGGCAGCATCGCCGGACTATGGTATAGTATTCCCGGCCGTACGGTCTTTAATCCCCAAATTCTACGTGTTTCTCATCAAGTACCCAAGTACATGAAATATACTTACGATTCAGATGGTGGTATGTTGTGTGTCTCTGCTAGTAGCCCACCTCCCGAAAGTGAATCTTGTGGTCGGGATTAGTGCTACGTGGTACTCCTCCTCTCCCTTTCTGTGCATCAATCTACCCCCATTTGCGGACGAATATCCCGAAAACTCGTGATCGGAATCTCATATCGCATTTTTGTTTTATAATAACTCTCGGGGATTATAATGTAGCAATTAACGTGATTACGGTGTATTGTTTCAACAATGCAAATTAAAAACGGTTCTTTTAGACGCCCGGGTATCTATTCTTATCGTACCCGTACCTCGGTACCGTTTTGGAGATGCATGAGTGGGGTGGGTATGGTTAAGGTTGCTTAATTTATTCCCGCAGAGCCTCCAGAACAATTTATTTACCAAACAGGAAATATGTCAAGCTTGTCATGCATTAAAAAGATTTAAAGATTGTGTAAACGCCCGCTGCTAGAAGAAGATAGCACATGAAAACAAGATACGCAGTGCAATTGAGAAAAAAAAAAAGAAAAAAAAAAGCGCAGAGAAATTATAAACCTGGGAGATATCTACTACTCGGTCCTTGGTTTAGGGATCCAGAGATGTGCATGTGTAGAATATAAAGTAAAATCCTAGAAAAACTATTGAACCCTAGAGTAATAGCTGTAAATACATGAGCATCGATCCACAGTTCCGCTATAAGTTGATAGTCGGTACGTGGGCTGCCCCGCCTTGCCGAAGATGAGCACTTGAGTTACGGAACAAACTCTGCCATAGAAACCTGTAGTACGATCAAGGGTTAGGTGGGTTTGCAAGTTTTAGGCGAAGGAGTTCCGCTCACGCTTCACTTAAAAGTATCTCCATCTCCTTCTCCCCCCAGTTCTGCGTCGGGAGAGCCTGGAGAAACATCATAGTTTCCTGGAAGTCCATTTTCTGAAGCGGTTCAGACCATTTGACTAAAAACGCTGCGCAAACATAGAGATGGAACTCCGAGAATCCTGCTTGTCCTTCTGCCTATCCTCCCGCATGTTTATTAGTGATACTCCTAATAAAATCGCCGACAGGAGTATCCGCAAATTTACCATATAAGTATCCCACATTCTGATGGTGTTCTTTACGCTAAGCTCCCTCATCAACATACAATTCATCCATCTGAAACTGAATTGAATAAACTCGACTCCTTGCTCAGCAAGGTGCTTTGTCAACGAGTTATCAATTCGCTGCACCAAGTCCCGTAGACCAGCGACTTGTCGCTGGATACCAGGCTGCGTATGTATATAATTATCCTGAATACCATCCAGGAGCTTGGTCAGGCACCAGAAAGAGTCCGCCTCGACAACGTCTAGGACCTCTTTAGGCAAGGAGTTGGGATTGAACGTCTCCACTTCTCCGTCTATTTGAATGTTAGAGATAGAGCGACCAAATACTCCAAGGAATGAGTAGTACCAATATAGGCAGAAAGGAAAACCTGAAAAAATGGCGTCACGAGGTCATTTATCCCTTGAACGTAACCACTAGCTGGATGTCGTATCGCCCAAACGTATAATATCCGCTCTAATGACCTCTGGGTTGTCTCGAAACCATAAAGTGGGATGTGTGGGTTCGTTCTGGGCACATCAATGGATATTTGGTGCCAGATAGTCTGATCTAGACCAGCAGTACCTCTCACAAAAGCCTGTTTGACACCATCTATAAACTCCTTTCTCTTTCGTTCCAAGGTGTTTATCCGTCTATCACTATTTGCAGGCAGATAGCCAAGCAACATTTGCCACGCCATGGGCCGCAATTCATCTGGAATGCCATTCCAGGATATCTCGCGCAATTCATTCAAATCGACAGTTGAGGATTGGAGTATACGCTTAAACTTATTTATACGTTTGATACGAGAGTTAAGTCTCTCAATCTCGGCCTCTGTGTGGGTGTCGGCAGATAAGGTTGGGTGATATATCATATGCAGGGAATTACCAGGGTCTTTGCTTATTCAAAGGATAGAGCCTTTAGCTTATTGTCCCAGGAATTGGTTCCGTACTTTTTGTGAAGGAATTACGGACTCACCCCTAACTAAACCCTCGAACTGCGGTTTCAGTCCCTGAGTGTCTTTCCTGCGAGTACTGGGATACGTTGGTGCTCGGGAAAGATCTGTAGAGCTGCCATTACCACTGAGCTTAGAGCTGACAGCCGGTCGGTGCTCGATGGACCGTGGAGGCTTTGTCTTCTGCTGGAGAAAATCATCTGCAGTCTCATCTTTCACGTCTGCGTCCCAATCATCATCCGTTTGAGACATGAAATCTGTAAAGTTTCTCCCAGGTCGATGAGTTGGGGTAGGAAGTGGAGGGGATGGTATAGAAGGCGGTGGAGTCTTGGGCCGCACGGAGCTAATCTAGTAGTGAGATGAGTGATATTTTTAAGATAGCTAACGGAGAGGAAGCATTACAGTGACTCAAATTTCAACATGTCTGCATGAGAATAAGCAGCCCCGACAATTTTTGAGGGGTCTTGGGTCCTACAGCCATCCTTCCATGTCAGCGGGCAGGGGCCTTTGGAAGAGAACATGGGGGGGGGGGTACAAACTGCGAGCTGTCACGTTGTGAGGCAGCGGCCGAATTACTCGAACGACCTCTCCAGAAGGACGAGGGTGAACTAGTTTATTCGTAGCATCAGAAACATATACGGCAGATGTAAATCTCATGATGCTGCTGTCACAGCAACAAGAAACACATATTTGGGGGAATTACTCTGAACGATCTACACCCAGGGTAACAACGAAACACGGAACATTGCATTAGCATATTAAACTTTTTGGTAAGCTCCGAGGATATTTATATTCTGCGTGAAAGGGCGTGGAGCAGGTGGGGGAGATGGATGACATGCCAACTTGCACCATTTCCTACGCAGTGCAATGCAAGGCGGCGTTAGCGGATTCGCTTGGATGTAAGCGAGAAATATGGAAAGAGAGGTAGGATCGAGGGGATATGAAGGCGAGAATGATTATGCGCTTGTAGCATGTACATGTACTTAGGTGGTGGTGGGTGACGATGGTACAATGGGTGGAAGTCAAGGTTCATGAAGGCATGTTGTAGCTACATTGCCCACCAAAGCAAACATGATGAAAGAAGGAGCAAGTGCATACCTGTTGTTGAGGGTCCTGCTGCTTGGACTGGGACCATATTCCGCGCATCGTGAGAAATTAGGCCGGAGAGGTCGACGGCGGCGGGCGGGTGGGGGAGAGGGGTGTACAGGCTGGGCGGCAAGATGATAGAGCAAGAGTTACTGTCTGTATCGCATGTATGTATGTAATGCTGCCGAGCAGATCGTCAGGCGGTAACGCCTGATGGTGCCAGTCAGGATCCCTCTCAGAAAAAAGCGTTAGTTACTGTATGTGTATCTGTATCAGTATCAGTGGAGTGGCAGGTTTGGCTGAATGCTGTTTCATAGGCCCTTGTCAATTAAATATACTCCATGCGTTCATGTGTATATGCTTAATGGGTCTTGTTTTGTCGGTATCACGAAGTTTATCCGTGCCAAGACTGTGGAGACCTCTCAATACAAAACGTTCACTCATCGCCATTCACGGAAGAGTCTCACAACTTCTTTCCCTCAACCCCTTTGGCTCTTGGTTTGTCTCCGCAAACGACATATAAGAAGTTTGTGTGAAAAGGAACATTTGCACACCCATATTAATAATCTATTGGCCGATTTCATAATACTGAACCTCGTCCCCTGCTAGCCGACTCTATTCTGTGTGTGCCTTGCAGACCTAACCCGCGTTCTTCTTCGGTCCATCGCATCAATACTACGTCCACACTCCCAGAGCCTCCTTTGATTTCACTTAAATCAACAGACCCCCCTTCCGTCTCTCTTCCACATCCATCCTTGTGTCAACGTTCTAACACAACAGCTACAACAACCTTTGTTCAACTAGTGCCCCCCCGTTATTAACAAATAACTTCTAGCTTTTTCATAATGGAGGCCGACGAGTTGATGGACGATGATCTCTTTGCTGATCTGTGAGTAACAATTCTCCGGTCCGATGGCTTTGTTCGAGCGGAAGATACTTTGAAGCGCGTCATGGCTGATTCTCCTGGTTCCCATAGTTACGGTGACGATGAGCCTTCAAAGACTGCACAGGCAGAGCAATCAAAACCTGCACAGACACCTGTATCTACACCAGCTCCTGTGGTAGCGGCTGCCCAACCTGCTGCCCCAATCACTGAGAACAATGTGCCGGCAACTTCATATGCGCAAGAGGCTACTCCTGTCCCTACTGTTGCCCAAAAGGCTGTTGATCCCAGGGCCCCTCCCCCATCTCAGCCCACTCCTGTTAACCAACAGCCTGTTAAAATTGAGAATCCGTACGCCATTGAGGAAGAAGCTGACACATATTCTGGATGGGACGCTGCTATGAGTGGCTCCAATGGTAATGATAGTGGTGCTTACGGTGGCTATGGATATGATGGAGCAGGTGGAGCAGGGGGGTATGGAGATGGGCAGGTATCTGGGAGTCCAGCGATTAAGGAGGACGGGTGCGTATTTATATTATACTTCTTTTTTTATGTTTGCACTGTGAGGGTATTCTATGAAGCGAGAGGGGGGACACAAAGGCTAGGACTGGTATTAAGGCATTCTTCGATGGAATTTAGCTGGTTAAACAAGGGCTCTGAGAGGAAGGTCAAAGGGATAGGGTAGATATGAGATAAAGGCATATTAGGAGTGGAAAGTACATACATCCTACTTCGACAACTCTACTATCTCGAGCTATAACTACTATATCTACCGCGGCGAAAATTTCGATAGAGGACCTTGGAGTACAGGGGAGCATCCTGCTTTGTCATCTACCTACTGCTATTCTACTCTACCTCTACTTCTATACGAGAACTAGCTAGCAGTACAGCATTAAGATGCACGAAGGATAGTTTGTGTACGAGAGCAAGAGAAAATGGGAATCAAAGATTGGCTTGGACTCCAGATACTTTTTTTCCAATATTCTACATCAACAAAAGAATTCTCGAAAAATATGCCTTTCACCCTTTCACCTTCGAGGTCACTAGTCCACCTCTTTTGGGGAAATCATTGTCATATCCCAACAGTGACAATGGCATATATCTAACCTACTCTCGCTTCATGGGGGACCCGAGTGCTTGCATTTTCGCGTTATCTCTGTGTTGCAGTTATAGGATTGAAGTTGACTAGTGTTTTTTATAACTGTGTAGGAAAATGTTCATTGGTGGCTTAAACTGGGAAACAACTGATGGTATGGCCACATAAGACACTGTCTATCACTCTTCCTTAATCCTGATAAGTCTATCGCATTGTATTTTGATCACCTGCTAAGCGTACCTTGTGATCAATATAGAGTCACTGAAAGAATATTTCAGTCAATATGGCGAGGTTATCGAGTGCACTGTCATGCGCGATGGCCCAACTGGACGATCCAGAGGATTCGGGTTCTTGACCTTCAAGGATCCTAAGACTGTTAATATCGTTATGGTGAAGGAGCATTACCTTGACGGCAAAATAGTGTGTACTCTGCCTCTACTTATCATAGTATGAGATTTCCGGCGCAGACGTTTTTTATTGACAATTGCTAGATCGATCCAAAACGTGCTATCCCTCGGGACGAGCAGGAGAAGACATCTAAGATCTTCGTTGGAGGTGTGAGTCAAGAAGCGTCAGAAGCGGACTTCAGAGAATTTTTTACACAATTTGGCAGGGTTCTCGATGCTACTTTGATGATGGATAAGGACACGGGTAGGCCCAGAGGGTTTGGCTTCGTGACATTTGATAGTGAGGGTGCAGTCGAAAATGCATTGAACTGTAAGACATTGGAAATTCTGGGCAAGCCGGTTTGTAGATCACTTCACGAATATTTGAACACGACTCCGTTCCTTATGACTATGTTAACTTTGCTCGTTGTATGTAGATCGAAGTTAAGAAAGCCCAGCCTCGCGGTAATATCCGTGAACGCATGAACGCCAACTTCGATGAGCGTGATGACCACAGAGGAGGAGGTGGTGGTGGTAGCGGTGGTGGTGGCGGAGCTTTCCGTGATCGTACAGATCGTCGTGACCGTTTTGAAAACCGTGACGGCTCTGCAATTGGCTCTAACAACTACAACAATGGCGGTGTCCCACAGAATCAACCTGCACAAGGTGGTCAACAAGGAATTTATGGTGGGATACCGCCACAAGTGATGGCGCAATACTACCAAAATGTCCAGAGATACATGCAGGCAATGCAAGCAATGGGCCGTGGTGCAGCCGGGCCGATGCCGATTGCGAATCCAGCAATAATGCAAGCTCTTGGAAGAGGAGCTGCCATGAACCCGGCAATGATGCAGCAGATGCAGCAGATTCAGCAAATGCAAGGCCAACAAGGCCAACAAGGCCCCATGGCCACTGTTGGTTCACCGGGTCCTCCTCAATCCGGCCCACAGGGAGGATATGGGTCACCACAACCACAAATGGGATATGGTGGACCCCAAGGACCTCAAGGCCAACAACAAGGCGGTGGGAGCTATGATAACAATGGTGCTAGCTACCATGAAATGCAACAGGCCCAGCAGCAGGCCCAGCAACAGCAACAACAGCAGCAACAGCAACAACAGGCCCAGCAACAACAGAATCAATACAGGCAGCAAAGAAATTTCCAGCACCATCCATCACAAAGAGATTATCAGCCACCTCAACCACAACCTAGCTCTTGGGAAGGGATGTACGATGATGTGCCTCCACAGCAGCAGATGATGCAGCAAGGTCGAATTGGTATGAATTATATCCCCCATTTTGTTGGCCCTATTTCCAGCCCTCCGGAGGTTTATCCTAACGACAAAGAAAATTCTTTTTCCGGTTCCTTTGGTAATTCATATAATAATATACCCCCTACCTCTTCTAACTCATTCCCCTTCTCTATCTCTCCCCCTTCCAACTCTCAGGCCCATTTGCTCTTCACTAAATCTCGCGAAGTTGACCATGGATACTCTTCTCCAGGAGGTGGTGGTGCACCTTATAGACAGAATGGACAGGGTTCCGATGGACCCCCTCCCAATGCGCCTACTGGACCACGAAATGCAAAGGGTTCCGGAAGTAACTATAGAGGAGGCGGAAGAGGTGCAACTGCAGCCAGGGCCAATGATAGAGGCGGTGCCGGGTATGGTGCTGGATATAGGGGTGGCTATCACCCTTACGCCAGGAACGGCTAGAGATTTTGCAGTACACACCTTCAAAACTGAAGGTAAACGCAAATAATCTAAGTAAACTGACAAGACGATCAGGGTGGTTTCTGTGCTTTTTTGTCCCCTTTTATTCTCTTACCTATTCTTTCTCCCTACTCCGTCACCGATCTCATTGTTTTATGATCGAGCCTAGTATTTTCTCTACTTTTTTATAGGATACTAGGGAAAGGTGGTTAATTGAATGCATTGTATTTTTTCCCCCAACCCCTATTCTTTTTTTTCTCTTTTTTTCTCTTTTTTTCTCTTTTTTTCTCTCTTCTTTTCATTCTTCTCTTCTTATTTCTGTTCTCAAATGCTTGTTTCTTTACTTACAAGATATATCCAGGCCTATGTGTTGATGACTGGGAAGAGGATGGCTAAATTGTATATGTATCACCAAAAACACTACCATGTTAATTTGTGAGGTTTCGGCCCGGTGTAGGTAGAGATCGCTAGCAGGATATAGTGTATTACTAATGTCCATACTAAAGATAGTAATGATCATCTTGAGTATTGAGTGATGTCTTGTGAACATAGCTGGTCTTTGCTTGAACATTTATAATACGGCCCATATGAATTCCTTAGATTCCAATTTACTTCCAATTCACACGCCTCATTATACTCAATCCACTTTAAAAAAAGATCTCAACTGTGGGTAGTGATGTTACGAATGAGTTGGGGATCAAGCTTTGTAGAGTGAGAAACTATGATCCAATTACAAAACCGTTCTCGGAAATCACGGCACGCTTGGACTTGTCTTTCTAGAATCGCCAAGAATTGACGTCAATCGAGAGGTCCCCGCCCAACGACCCCCACTAAACACACTACAAGCTCCAAGAAATCGATTAAACCCAGGTCAATTTTGAATAGCTCACAAATTCACAAATATGCGCGCAATCGGTATCTCTAGCTTCCTCCCAAGAGCTCTGTGATCTTGGGCCCTCTGCTAATGCTTCCTATACAGACATCAAGAACGGGTCTGGCCCTGCGGAATCATTGTTTATTAATGAGAATGTTGATACTCCAATTTTGAAGGATGGAGACATCCTTATACGGGTCAAGGTAGGTAAAGTATTCGTATTGAATAACATATCGCTAAAGAAGCAAAGGCCTTCGGGTTGAACAGGATGGGTAAGCTTTAAGCTCCTCAAGGATAATAAATCCTCGTATAAATATACTTATATATAAGTCCAGATCTATTACAGAGAGAGGGAAAGTACGCAGTACCACCCCAGGCGCCAAAAACACTCGGTGTTGAGTTCTCGGGCATTGTGGAAAAATTGGGCAATGGTACTACTGGCTTCAAGGAGGGCGAAAAGGTCTTTGGCCTAGCTTATGGAGGAGTAAATATCCGCCCACTCAGGAATCTCAGGGCTGCGATTTAACCCCCTTTCTGGAATAGGCATATGCGGAATTCATTGCCGTCTCAGAAAAAATGTGTATGCACATGCCTGACGAACTATCCTACGAGCAAGCAGCAGGAATTCCAGAAACATGGATAACAGCCACCCAAGCTCTTTGGACCATCGGCTCCTTCAAGTCGGGCCAGAGAGTGCTCATTCACGCAGGTGCTTCTGGTGTCGGAATTGCTGCTATCCAGCTTGCTCTCTCTCATGGCGCCTCGGCTGTCTTCATAACTGCTGGTTCTAATGAGAAGATTGAATTCTGCACGAAAACCCTTGGCGCCACAGCAGGCTTCAACTACAAGACTCAGGACTTTGCTGCAGAGATTTTAAAGGCGACTGATTACGAAGGCGTTGATGTTGTCATTGACTTTGTTGGCCAGTCTCACTTCCAGAAGAATGTCAAGGTCGCGGCAAAGGACGGGAGAATTGTTCTTCTTGCGTTGCTCTCAGGGAATATGGTGAAAGAGTTTGACTTAGGACCGATCTTGTATAAGAGACTACGGATCGAGGGATCAACGTTGAGGAGTAGATTACCGGAGTATCAGGAGGCTTTGAAGAACAAGTTCCAGGAGGAGGGGCTGCCTGGCTTGACGAGCGGAAAGTACAAGCTTTTTATTGATAAGACGTACAATTGGAAGAATGTGAGTAACCCTCTCTGTTTGTTTTACCAGTCTTGCGCATACTAACTATAAAGTGATAGATTGCCGAAGCGCACAAACATATGGAAAGCAACAAGACACAAGGGAAGATTATCTGTACAGTTGATTAAGCTTTAAACTATATATATGTGCGAGTATGTATTGTAGTCAGTGGCCTTCATCTTAGACTACAGTGAAACCACAATGGGATTTTTATCCTCCAGAATTCGAGGATGAAACAATACCTCTATCTTCGTAGGATAAGCAGTGTCTTTACAACCAAAAAACCTGGTAATTGATGTTGGCAAAGGAGAAATTGTGCATGTGATATAGAAATACAGAAACAATGTGAAAAACCGTTTTTATTTTTAATTATAATTTAATTTATTTACATTTACGTACTATCCGGTACTGTATATATATATATGTATAAAAAAAACTGTCAGCCAGTTTGCAATTCGGCAAAAGTGTTAGTGGTATCTGAGACTGTAACATCTTTAATTTGTAGTAGGCCACAAGATAGCTTGAAGCTTCAATCTCCTTTGAATAAGACTATAAGTTCGAGAGGCTCTAGAGAAAAAGAGTTTCTCCGTAATCCCTCAAATTTATGGTGCCATACACCGAGCTTGAGCTTCCGCTTTTGCTTGCACCTACACGAAAGGTTGATCCGCCCTGCCTGGTATTACCGGTTTCTGCGTCTTTTTCGAAGCTTGATCAAAGCGTCAGTACCAGGAGCAACAGAAACCTGTAATACCACGCAGTCGGAGTGAATCCCTTAGGTAGGGAAGTCATCTTAATCAGCTCACACTACTTGCTTAAGATTACAGGTACGAGAGTACGAAGGATACTCATGCGGACCCTCGACCCCCTAGCAGTTTTCTCGGCACCAGCTGCTCTGGTGCAACAGTCGCGCTTCCCTCCTCTACAGGGGCTTCGCCCCCGTACCCCCTTCCTTACAAATAAATTCAGTAAATTAAAATAAGACTTCGTTAATAATAGACATTAGAATTAATTATTAATTACAAAGGCCTTGTCCTCTAGCTCACGTGACTCCCGCCAGACGACTGAACAGCTCAAACTCCATCCTTTCCGCTGCCTTCGGGCCCTCCATAATCTCTCCCATCATGTCCGAACCGGGCGGGAAATCAAACTCAAAGACAGGCTCGCCAGCTCCCCTCATATTCGCCAAGACAGCCTGCCGGAAATGCCAGCGCAACAGCTGGTCGACGGGCCTACGAGGATCGTCAAGGAATTGCTGATCGATATGCCTGCCGGCGATACCATGGCTATCGAGTTGAAAGCAGACGATCTTGTAATTATCGTCTGGGTTGATCGACACATCATAGCCGTCAAAAAGTTGGTGTATATCCGATGCAAGTAACATCCCATTTTGCACAGAGTTGATAGATCCTCCAGTACTTGGCTCAATGGTGATCCAGCCACCATAGTTACGCTCCATCCAGTGCCCTTCGTATGCCAAAGGAAAGATGTGCGCAGCCTCGAAGCCCCTCCAGATACCATACTGAGCACTGAGCGCTGGTCGTCCCGTTATAACGCATCGCCGGTCTCGGTCACGGACAGCATCACGAAACCCTGCGACACGGGTCCCACTAGACACCGACATCGTACGAACTAGCCAAGACTCGTCATTGACAGTGATAGAACCTATTGGAATCAGCAACTCAACGATGTAACCCGTTGAAGGAACCTACCATCCGTGACAATGTAGAAATTGCCAGGCCGCAGCGCCTGCTCATCCCTCTGAACATCCGTACCATCCTCATGTCGCAAGACGTAGTTGCTGTCGAAAAACAGGAAGACTTCCACCATCGAATAGAAGTTTGCATTCGTCACACCGTTTGTGAGGATCAGACCTCCGAGAACCGGGCCGGTGGGGTCGCTTGCATTGTAGATGTGGACGTCACGTCCCAGTGAGCGACTAGGAATGGACATGTTGATCGTTGATCGTGATCGCTATCGCTTGGTTGAGGGTTGTTGTTGACTATCATCCTTCAGGTGTGTAGAAGTCTAGGAGAGTTCTCCTAGTGGTGGGGGGGAACGGGCGCCGCTGCGGTTCCAGTGTAACCAACGTGGGGCCAGGCGTTGGTTCCAAGGGTAAGGGTTCAACCCGTGGCTGAAGCGTGGCTTGAACGTAGACCTGAGCATGGTGCCAGGTCCCTTACATACAAATCTGATATCACTGTGTGAATATCTTAGGCTGGTTCCAGGTGCCAGGAATCTGCTAGGGAATCATAAAGGGCCTCCGGCCCCTAGCAGATTCCTCGGCACCTTGCCAGGGATCATAGAGGTGCTTGACAGCACCCTGGCAGATTTCTAGGCACCCGCCTGCTGGCGTTTGTCGACAGTCGCTAAGCGCTCCCTCTATCGCTCGGGCGGATGAATTTTGTCAAATTCGCGACCTGGACCGTGCACCATTTAGTAAGGGAATTATCTTGCTTTTCCCAGTTGCTAACAACAACAGAGCCAATCACGAATTTACAATAATTACCACAGAAGGCTAGTGATAGCTGAAAGAGGGAAGTCGCGAATTTGACATAAGTCATCCGCCCGAGCGATACAGGGGCTGCGCCCCCGTACCCCCTCTTCGAGAAATAAATTAGCAAAAATAATAGTATTATCGTGCTAAATACACAAAACTAGGGCTCCTCCACCACCTTCCAGTTGCGGCCGAAGTACATCTTCACCCGACGTTTCCTATAATCCTCCGCCTTGAAAATTTTTTTCATATAACAAAAGTCGGTACCAAGAATGTTAACATCCGAAAAGTGAGAGTTAGCCGATGGTACATGGATTGGGTGATCATGTCCACCAATTGTGACTATACCCTCAGTATCGAAACCCATGAGTTTGCTTGCCTAGATTGCCAATTAGTACTTTCACGAGTAGGGCCGTCCTTGCGATACTTGCCTGAGCGGAAAGGTATGTCCACGGAGACCCACTGTTCACGATGAAAAAAACCCAACGAGCCTCCTTCTCATTGGCAACAACAAATGGGACAATTGTCCTCTTGTGGAGGCCATATATATACCCTTCAGCGACTTGAACCACCTCTTTGGCATCAGCTTCGGTCGCCTTCGAAAGGTATGGGATACCTAATTCCTCCGCGATTGTAGACTCCAACTTCCCATGAGTAATGTCCGTGAGCAAGACGTCGTATTCAGTCGGATCGGGAGAATATTCTGGGTCGACATCGTGGATGTCGGTGAACTCGCCGCGCTCTAGGGCCTCTTGCTGACGCTGCCTGATGACAAAGTCCTGCGGATCAGGATGCGAAAGAGAAAACCGCCGGCGGATCGTATCGTAACTCGGAGGCCCCGAGTAGGGAACCGGGATGGTGTGTACCGGACGCGAGGTCAAAATGCGAGACCTGGGAAGAGCCTTGGCTATCTGGCGGCTGGCTGATCTGAACATGGTTATGATGAAGATCCTTCGTTGGTGATCAATTCTGCTCGCTCTACCATTCTACCGTCCTACCGAAGTGAGAGTGTTGTGTGGTTGCTGGCTGTGTGCCGTCTTGCGTCGCATCGTTCAGGGTAGATGTAAAGGAGATGGCGCTTCCTGTGGGAGGGCGGGGACACTCACCTATATACCCTCCCGCGGGAGGGCCGGGTAACAAGTTACTTCCGCCTTAGACGCGGAATCTGGTGCGTGGCGCTGGTGTCAAGGGTAAGGGTTCATGCAGTGGCTTGAACGTACATCTCAGACTGGTGCTTCGATCCTTACGTAGAAATGATAGTCACTTGCGTGAATATCTTAGGCTGGTGTCTGGTGCCAGAAATCCTTCTGTCGCGCGCTTGTCGTTGTAGTAATCGTCGGCTAGCGCCTCCTCGCATACAGGGGCTGCGCCCCCGTACCCCCTTCTTCCCCAATAGAATTCAATAAATTAAAAAGACTTAGACATTAGAATTAATTGATTACAAAGGCCTTGTCCTCCAGCTCACGTGACTCGTGCTCACGTAACTCCTGCCAGACGACTGAACAGTTCAAACTCCATCCTTTCACCGGCCTTCGGGCCCTCCATAATCTCTCCCATCATGTCCGAACCGGGCGGGAAATCAAACTCAAAGACAGGCTCGCCAGCTCCCCTCATATTCGCCAAGACAGCCTGCCGGAAATGCCAGCGCAACAGCTGGTCGACGGGCCTACGAGGATCGTCAAGCAATTGCTGATCGAGATGCCTGCCGGCGATGCCCTTTCTATCGGTGTTGAAGCAGACGATCTTGTAATTATCATCTGGATTGATCGACACGTCATAGCTGTCGAAGAGCGCGTGAATGTCCGCTCTTAGCAACATCCCATTCTGAACCGAGTTGATGGATCCTGCGGGCTCGGTAGCCGGCGGAATGGTGATCCAGCCACCGTAGTCATGCTCCTTCCAGTGCCCTTCGTATGCCAAAGGAAAGATGTGGGCAGCCTCGAAGCCCGTCCAGGCACCTCGGGCATTTGCCGCTTCTTCTCCGGTAATAACGCATCGACCATCTCGCTCGCGGATAGCATCACGAAATCCTGCGATACGGCTTCCAGTACTCAGCGAGACCGTACGAACCAGCCAAAGCTCATCATTGACGATGATGGACCCTATTGAAGCTACGAGTCAGCAGCTGACCATTTAGTCGTGGAGGAAACCTACCATTCGTGTGAATGTAGTAATTCCCTGGCTGAAGTGCCTCCTCATCCCTCCGAACTTCCGTGACGTCTTCATGCCGCAGAACGTAGTTGCTGTCGAAAAGCAGGAAGACTTCCACCATCGAGTAGAAGTTGGCGTTTGTCACACCGTTGGTGAGAACGAGACCGCCGAGCACCGTAGCGGGATTATTCGCATCGTAAATGTGGACGTCGCGTCCCAGTGAGCGATTAGCAACGGACATGTTGATCGTTGATCGCTATCGCTTGGGTGAGGTTTGGTGTTGACCATCGTTCGGTAAGTGTGTAGAAGTCTAGGAGAGTACTCCTAGTGGTGGTGGGGAACGGGCGCTTATATAGGTGTCGGCGGCCGCCCCCAGTGAGCACTTCAAGCTAGTCAGTCGGTTTCGCTAGGTACCACGAACAAACTATACCCTGCTTGCTTCGTCGAAAAGGCTTTGCTTAATTTCTTTTTCGGGATGAATTTCAGAGTGTTCATTTGAACTAGGGGGTCCATCCACCTCGCGACCACGAGTTGTTACTCTTGATATCCCCAGTTGGTCCCAGCTCTTCTCCCAGCTTATTTGCCGGCTTATTTGCCAGCTTATTTGCCAGCTTATTTGCCAGCTTATTTGCCGGCTTCATTGCCATCTCCCCTTCCTGCTTCCCTTCCAGCTCCCGTGTCATTTCAGGTCTTAAAACTCGACTGTATACTCCTATACTTATGAGGTTAATTCATTTTATGGGGCGGTATAGATTTTGGTGGGGTGGGCTGGTTGCCATGTGGGTTAGGGTTCCTCGCTCTCAACCAATCAGCTGTTTGGACTGGTTGATATTCATCCCCAACAGACGAGCAGCTCTAACAGGAGCCAAACCGGGAATGGCCCTCGGCTTGACGAATAAACGGACGACGTTTGACATTTTGAATCTGTTCTCTCTCGTACTGAATTTTGTTGAGCGAATCTTGTCGTGGTATGCTTCGCTAGTAAAACCGTCCTTCGTAGGTAGTTGAAGCCTTTCTATGAAATAGAGGGGGGGACACGCGCCTATATACCCGCTGGTGAGCTAAGCCGGGTAATAAGATATTCGGAAAAGGCCTAAAAAACGACACACTTCTACGATGCAGAATGATACAGTTCAAAACTTCGGGTCCTTTTAGAAGACCGTTGACGCACTATTACTATAAAATTCGGAACTAGAGGGCCTTTTTGACCCGTTGATAGTAACCTATCAATACAAAATTCGGCACTGTTAGGAGTACCTGTTGACGAACTATTATTATAGTTCTGCTAGCAAAAAAATGGAAGACGGCAAGATTCCGGAAGTCATTCCTTGTAACTAAGATATCTATCGTACAATGTAGGTTGGGCCTTATCGTGAAAGAGGACGGGTTCTTCTAAAAGGACCCGAAGTTTTGAACTGTGTCATTTTGCATCGTAGAAGTGTGTCGTTTTGCATTATGTGTTACTCTAAATCAAGTGTACCAGAAAGTGTGTCATTTTTCCGATTTAAATATTACTCTTTCTGGCGAAAGACGGTGTGTGGCGCCAAGCCGTGGTGTGTGGCGTTGGTGTCAAGGGTTAGGTGTTCTCGCGTGGCTTGAACGTACCTTGGGGAACGGTATCTGCCAAGGACCTAGCATAAATCTGATTTCCTGCGTAAATCTTAGCCTGGTGCCTAAAGATATCTGCGGCACCTTGGTAGTTTTCTTCTGGCACCCGCGATCTCGCGGCTGTGACGGTCGCTAAGCGCTCCCTCTATACAGGGGCTTCGCCCCCGTACCCTTTCTAAGAGTTAGGTGAGATGGATTAGATAACTCGGATAACTCAGCATCTCAAGTAGTACTATCCCTTAGGCCGTCAGGCCGAATCGCAATGTGTTACCGAACCTGATATGCTCAGTTGAACGCAGTTATTGTTTATTCTCTCCCTGTCTCTGGTGGGACAGGTGGAGCTCTCTAGCGTATGGTATGGTGCGCCCAGTCTTAAAGGTAATCGAAAATGACGGAAAGTCGATGGCTAATAACTTTTTGACGAAAAAAGTTAAAGGAAATCTGTACAATGGAAATGTAGTACTAGTTATGAAGTTTAGTTCTATTGTACAAATTTTTGATATCTATTCTAGTTGTGAAGTTATTAGAGCATTTTTGCACCAAGGCTGAGCAAAGTGGAATAGTATTATACCCATTTATACCCCCTCAAAAGCGAATTGCGGCAGGAATGCAGCAAAGTGGCTAGGAATAAGCCCTCTCATTGGCTTTGGAGTTCACCTTGCAGCCACAAGTGTTCCACTTTAAGATACCGCCGTGTCACCTTTAAGAGTGTGCGCACCATACATTAATGAAGTAATCAATCAATCAATCAATCAATCATCCTGCTGGGTGCTGTGCCAACCGAGTGATTTTCTATGATTGCCCTTTCCGAGGTACCTTGCACCTCTCATATTACGACAAGTGCCCTTATATATACTTCTACTACAGGCCTTCCATCAACCTTCCTTATCCTAAAAGTCTGTACCTTCCTCTACGTTCTTTGCTGGACAGCAATTCCACGTCCGGCTATAGATAATCCCCCAGTTCCGCTGTCAAGCTTCAATCCATTCCCCCTACAAAGTTGCAAAACTCTCAACAATTACCCCTCCCACAATATACCCTTTATCTCGCTCTATCTCGCTCCTGCTACAGCACTAGGCCCTTTTCAATCGCCCTCTGCCCCCTCCGATATGTGGTGCTGAATTATGCCAGGCAAGACCGGGTCATGACTATCGACACATGCACAGGAGTCTTCATCCAGGAATCATGACGTAACCCGGTACTACAAAAAAAAACCCCCCAGACTATCTCTCCTCTCAGGCAGTGCCTTCTACGAGACAATCCGGCTTATACTCTCATATCGAGAGAGCAAACTCGAATGCACGAGACCGATACGAGCATATCAGGGATGAACATCCACTATACCAAGCTAAGAACAAAATCAATCTCCCTCTATCAGGTATCAAGAGTAAGACTTTCCTTCCGAGAGCCACCTCATGTTACAATCATCTTACCTCTTACCAGCTCACTCGTTCATACCTTGGAACTAATAAAGAGTAGAGTTTTGAATTGTGTCAGAGCTCAGGAAAGCTCTTTGAATTCTCTCTCCTAACCCACCCTCTAGCTAGAACTTAGCAAAACTAACGCATGATGACCTTCACGTCGATCACGCAGGGCTCGGCGACATTGGTTCCCGAAGTTCCAATCTACCGTTCCTTACAGCTTGCTGACTATAACGCATCAGATAGTTCTTAGCTCCCGTGGCGTTGATTTTAGGTTAAGTTTCTCCGCCTCACACCTACACCACACCCACCACACCACACTCACACTCTCACCCACACCTCGCCACCACCGCCGCCGACCTCAACCACGGAATCCGAAACCAAACGCGCCCCAAGAATACAGAGACGGAAGAAACTACCTCCTTCCCCCTCAAACAAAAACAAAAAACAAAAATTCCCCAAACCCCGCCAAGGCCAACCTACGCCTCAAAAACCAACTGAGTGATACTTCATGACGATGGTTACAACGGAAACCTGGTCCAACTACCACCTCACCCCGTGATAGTTCAAGAACAAGAAGAAGCAGGTAGCGTCGCACAAACTGTAATTCTTGCCCCACCCCTTGCCTTGTCTGCAGAGTTTTTTGACCTCCTCCTCCCCCCACCACCCCCGCGGATCGGTCTTCAAGCAGGCAGGCACGAACGGGGGAAGATAGTGGTAAGTGTACGATAATCATATAGAAAAGAGATAGTATGGCACGGTATATTATATCGAACCGGCTAGAATGTTGGTATGTAGATAGATACAAAGAAAGAAAAGAGGAAGGAATGAAGAGCAGAAAAACGTTGCTAAGATTAATTGTCGTGATACGTACCCGGAACGAAAGAAAAAACAAGAAAAATGATAAAAAAAAAAACTCCCATATCCAGCATGAATGGGGAAAGGGAATAAAAAAACACCGTCGCCATATAGTTACAGAAAGAAAGAGAAAAAAAACCAAAGCCCATACCAAATCTATTAACCTAGCGCCAAAGTAAAAACGTAAAAAAGAAAAGAAAAAAACCCAAATTGTACAACGATGCTCCCTCCGATCAAGGCGAAACTAAATCATCCGTCGCTGTCGGTACAGGCTTCCTCATCGGGCTTTGTGTCCCTGATACTGTTGAAGCTGTCGGCTCATTGCTCTGTGCGCTCTGTGCACTCTGTGCACTCACGCTGCTGACCACCGTCTCTGCCACAGCTATCTGCTCTACCACGGGCGAACTCCACGGCGGCTGCGAACTCTCCTGGCGCGCGAGACTAAAAAACAATTCATCTTGTTGGTTTTCCATTACCGGCGGACTGATTGCGCCGGAAGTCAGCGCGTGTAACTGCGCTTCACCAATCGAAGACACTGGGGAGCCAAAAGTGTACTCGTAGTTGAACTCTCCTGAGGGCGGCATGACCCGGAGCTGCGGGAGCTGCGGGGGAGGGCTGTGCGGGGGAGCTGGTAGGGGGGACATGTTGGGCATGGACTCGCCGCTAGGGATGTTGTTGTATCTGGTGGAGGGTCCACGTCGGAGAGATCCGATCATTCCTAGTAGTCAAGAGATGTTAGATGTGGTGTATTTCATAAAAGAGTGCGAGGATGCTTACCTCTGACGCCTGAACCGGCTCCCGGACTGGATCTAAGGAAACTTCCATTTGAGAAACCCACTGATTCCTTCCTGAGATCCCCATCCCGCCGTTTTTTGGACCATAGATATGCCAGCACAAAGATCCCAATAAAGCCTACCAGCGCACCGAAACATGCGCCGACTATAATCTCCACATTTGGCGTTTTGGGACTCGCGCCCCCAATAGTTGGTGTATCGTCCACTACAATTGTTGATGGCACCACCGTTGCGGATGTGGAGGGGGTTGCGGTTGCTGTTACTGTCTGCTGGGTTGTCCATGTGCTGACCTGGGTCGATATCATAGTTGTTGTTACCGTCATAGGTACCGCCGTATTAGTCTGGGCATCTGTGGGGGTTGCATAGACGGTGACTGTGGAGGTTGTTACTCCGTCTGTCCAGTCCCAGTTGGTTGTTGTAAGGGTTATGGTCTCTTGTGCGTCCTGGCGCCGCAGGACGGGCGCGCCTTGGCCCCAGGACTTTGTTGTAGTAGTTGGGGCGACGATTTCGATGACTGTGCTGGTAGATAGGGGAGCGCCAGTGACGATGTCTGTGACTGTAGCTATGTTCACATGTTTTGCCGGCGGTGTTTCCGCACCAACTGCTGCCACTATTGCACCAGATTGTAATACTGCCCCAGATTGTGGTACTGCTCCGGGTTGTGATGCTGCTCCAGATTGTGATACTGCTCCAGATTGTGATACCGGTGTCCCTGCACCTGCTGTTGTTGTTGTTGTTGTTGCGACTATTGTATTTAGATTTGCGCTAGTGGTTTCAATTATCTGAGAAGTAGAAGCAGAAGCAGAAGTAAAAGTAGAAGCAGGAGCAGAAGCAGAAGTAGAAGTCGTGGCTATCTGTGCAGTAGAAGTCGTAGTAGTCGTTGTTGGGGCGGTTGATTCAATAGTGGTAGTGGTAGTCTCTGTTGTCGGCGTCACAGTAGTAGTTGTAGCTGTAACAGTATTCGTTACTGTCGTTCCAGTCGTGATAATGCTTGTCAACGTGACGATAGCTGTCTTTGCAGTGGCAGTTGGCGTAATTGTTGTTGTTGAATACTCTGTTACTCTCCATCCACCATGCATAGTCACAGTAACCCACTTTGTTACCCGCACTCTCTGTGGTTCTGGTTCCCTCTTTCCTAGTTGCCTTGTATCGATCTTCATACCCAGCGCCGTAGTCCCCCATAACAGACAAATCATGAAGGCCCCGACCCTACCACCACCAAAACCACTTTCCGATCCTCTTCCTCCTAACCCTTCACCTCGCCGCAAGATATTCAATCGCATGACTATTGCAAGGTTTCGCCTTTTGAAAATAAAAATTCGAGGAAGAGAAATAGAAAGAAAAATTCAAGATTCCCAAAGCTAGGGATATATTTCACATGCAGTTGATCAAGTAGGTGTGAAAGTAAGTAAAGTAAACGTGGGATCAAAGGGAAAGACAGTCTACAAAGAGATGGACAGGGCAGATGACATTGCTTTACAGGTCGAGTGAGGCTGGTCCGGTAATCTATTCCTCAATGCGCAGGTGCTGAGAGGGGCAGGCAGAAATTGTATGGTATTATTCTGCTCCGGTAAATAATAAGGGCCAACTGCAGGATGCCGGTAGCATGAGCATGATTGGGGCGTAGGCGGCATGGTTAGTAGAGTACTCTAGAGTGGTGTTTACACTAGTAGGCATGCGCCACATGGGTGGACTACTATTTTTAGCCAAGACCCCTTCAAGGTTTGATAGAAGATGAGAAGATGCGTCTGGAAGAGGTAGTAAATAATCTAGGAAAGGTTAGTCGATACTTCGTTTATTTCGGAAGAGACGATATTGAGCCCTACAAACTTTTATTTCTCAGGCATGCCAATAGATGCGAATGGGCGATCGGCATGCCATCCATTGCATACCCATCCCAGGTCCGGTGAAGCAGGCACACGACAAAATATCCTTATCAACCCACCGCTTCCTTTTGTACAGCAGCAGCAGAATGCGCAGGCATTCTTTGGAACACCGAAATTCATTATAATAACGCGATCCGCAAAACTTTAAAAGAACAACAGTGACGTTTAAAGCACCTTATGATCTTCGCAAAAAAGACAACATTCCTCGTGCCACAGACATAGCGGAAAATGACAAGTCGCTAAAAACCGAGCCACTATCACTCCGCATATCCAGCCTGGTCTCTCGAGATACAGGCTATTTATACCCCCCCCCCCCCCTCTTCTCCTCAAAGCTTGTAACTTGCCCCATTCTAATTTCAAGAGGCTCGCTGAGCCCCATGTGCCTTAGTGTCTGAAGTATTGCTCACCAGCTAGCCCTACGGAGGCTCGTCCGACAAAATATTTCAAACGGACAAAGCCGATTTCGAGCGTCATTCTCGTATTTACGGCTCAGTGCGAATAGGGGTGTTTAACCCGAGATTATGTTGAATTCATTTGGTTGAAGAATGAATGACCACTACTGTAGTTAGCAGATCACTTACGTGCATGTAGTTCCTTTCGATTTTTCACGCATTATGTAAGAATGTCAACAGCTATCTGGCCAATTAAGATCTGTTTTAGGTAAGCTATTGCTTGACATGTAAATATTGAGACATTGGATAGTGATCGCTGTGTGGCCAGTCTATAATGTACTATCTATAATGTACTATCGCTAAGTTTTCTAACATTGGAACGGTTTGATTGGCTGCTGAGTGCAGGGATGTTGATTAGTCAGCACGACACATCAAAGTACTGAGCACTCACGAGAGGAGGAGGATGGGGCCGAAGGCCCCTCATGATTGTAGAGGGAGAATTAAATTTTATTTGATACCCATAATTCAACGTACAACTCGCGGTCGCGAGTTGGCACACCCCTAGTCTATAATGTACTATCGCTAAGTTTTCTAACATTGGAACGGTTTGATTGGCTGCTGAGTGCAGGGATGTTGATTAGTCAGCACGACACATCAAAGTACTGAGCACTCACGAGAGGAGGAGGATGGGGCCGAAGGCCCCTCATGATTGTAGAGGGAGAATTAAATTTTATTTGATACCCATAATTCAACGTACAACTCGCGGTCGCGAGTTGGCACACCCCTAGTCTATAATGTACTATCGCTAAGTTTTCTAACATTGGAACGGTTTGATTGGCTGCTGAGTGCAGGGATGTTGATTAGTCAGCACGACACATCAAAGTACTGAGCACTCACGAGAGGAGGAGGATGGGGCCGAAGGCCCCTCATGATTGTAGAGGGAGAATTAAATTTTATTTGATACCCATAATTCAACGTACAACTCGCGGTCGCGAGTTGGCACACCCCTAGTCTATAATGTACTATCGCTAAGTTTTCTAACATTGGAACGGTTTGATTGGCTGCTGAGTGCAGGGATGTTGATTAGTCAGCACGACACATCAAAGTACTGAGCACTCACGAGAGGAGGAGGATGGGGCCGAAGGCCCCTCATGATTGTAGAGGGAGAATTAAATTTTATTTGATACCCATAATTCAACGTACAACTCGCGGTCGCGAGTTGGCACACCCCTAGTCTATAATGTACTATCGCTAAGTTTTCTAACATTGGAACGGTTTGATTGGCTGCTGAGTGCAGGGATGTTGATTAGTCAGCACGACACATCAAAGTACTGAGCACTCACGAGAGGAAGAGGATGGGGCCGAAGGCCCCTCATGATTGTAGAGGGAGAATTAAATTTTATTTGATACCCATAATTCAACGTACAACTCGCGGTCGCGAGTTGGCACACCCCTAGTCTATAATGTACTATCGCTAAGTTTTCTAACATTGGAACGGTTTGATTGGCTGCTGAGTGCAGGGATGTTGATTAGTCAGCACGACACATCAAAGTACTGAGCACTCACGAGAGGACGATGGGGCCGAAGGCCCCTCATGATTGTAGTGGGAGAATTAAATTTTATTTAATACCCATAATCCAAAGTACAACTCGCGGTCGCGAGTTGGCACACCCCTAGTCTAATATGTACTGCCCTTAATTCTGCGAACCTACTCGCCCTCTGATTGGTCGAGAGCGAAAACCCTGACCCTGCATAGCAACCAGCTCACCTCCAAAATGCCACCACCCCCAAATTTAAACAGTATATCAGATTTGTGAATGTCTTTCTTTTCTTTACCTGCGGAGACTGAATAAACATTCACAGAGTATTAAGATATCCTCAATGGGAATATGTATATAGAGAGAGCAATCATCACCAACGGGGTATCAAAAGCTATTTATTAACGGGGTAGATCGTAGAGACGTGTTCTATCTGGGTATGTGTATTCATCAACTGGGAACGGGTTCGAAAAAAATCAAGAGGTCTCTTCACTGGCGGGGGCGGGGGGCGGGGGGGCGATCTTGGACTGGACATGCGCAACTGCGGTCCAGGAAGACAGAAGGCCTCATGAAGTCGAGGTAGTACAATTAATTGGAGTAAAAGGATCAAACCAGCAACTCGCGGTCGCGAGTCCCCTCCACTGCTAGTACCTATGTACTTATCTACGGCCAGTGGTAGGTTCTCCAGTAAGCAGTAAGGCTGAGAACAACCATGTACTGTAGTTCCATGGGAAGACACATGCAACACAGTAGGTCCGTACTAATGAAAAGATCAGCACACGAAGTTTATTTTTCTACTTTTTGAGTAGAGTAGAGTAGAGCACTCTAGAGTAGAGTACTACATGCATACTCGTACTCGGGAGTCTAGGGGCAGGGAAGAACTAGAAAGTGTCTCTCAGCCGTTCCACAGTTCGCTTCGATCCTATGCTTCCTCTTGCAGCGAGTGGCATGCCGTGTTTGTTCATTAATTACTGCGATCGCGCCGCCGCTGCCATCATTGAGCATGTATTCCCGACTGTAGAGCACGGTGCGTTGCGGCAGGTTACAGCGAGTGATCACTTATGAGGATGATTTAGTCCGGTATCGGCATCGACGCTCTTTTTAAAAAAAAAGCCATCTCCGTTTTGGGACACCATTAATTAATTCCTTGCAAGTCCCTCACACAAACATGTAGCTACATGTATGTATGTAGAGTAGGTAATGGATTTCAGGGTCAATGCTGTGGTCTGCGGCTGAAATAAAGCACAGAAGAGGGGAAGTGGAACGTCATGTCACATCACTGAATCAAAGACAAGGAAGGGAAGTGGAGAGGAAGGAAGGAGAGCCTGAAAACTCATAGTTCTAGTTACATGTCGAGAAGTGCGTACGCAGCGTGTCCTCTACCCGTGTTCTGTTGACAAGTGTAAGTGCAACTTCAATATTATAACCCACACCCATATCGCTCGGGCGGACATTGAATTTTGTCAAATTCGCGACCTGGACCGTGCACCACTTAGTAAGGGAATTACCTTTCCTTTTCCAGTTGCTAACAACAACAGAGCCAATCACGAATTTACAATAATTACCACAGAAAGCTAGTGATAGCTGAAAGAGGGAAGTCGCGAATTCGACAAAAGTCATCCGCCCGAGCGATACTCAAGGTTATTTTATTTTGGCCTGAGCTTAAACACAGAGCTGCAAGTACTTTCCCGGTACAGAAGGGATCCAAACTAGGATGTAATTGATATCCATCCCGTCGTGCGAATATGTACCGTACTCGCTGTAAATAGGGCGACGGTTGATCCTGTCGATCTGCTCCCCACCCTGACGACCCCATGCTCAATTGTACTGAAAGTACTCTAGGTACCACATGTCTGCCATCAGCGTGTATGTACCTTTGTAGGTACTCTACTCTAAGTAAGTTCACTTTCCAGAGTGGCACCGCAGTTTAGCGGCATTATATCATGTTGACACATACGGAAGGCAAGTTTGTCTGCTTCTGCAGCCCCAGACAGAAGCTTACCCCACACATAGCCAATAGCCATCAACACCCTCCCAACAGTACGTACTTCGAGAATAATACGGGCATAAGCCTCTCACGAATCAAAGTTTCTACATGCTGGTTATCGATCCGATAAACAAACACACTCCACCACACCCCTCAAAATCGAGATGGAGTTGAAACAAGCCTCGACGCCCAAAGCTTATTTCGACCTCTACGCCCTCGTCGTCTTCCGCTGCGCTGTACGACCCTTACATCAAATTGGAGTTTCAACGGTGCACTATCACTCGCCAAAAGCACATACACATATGTATGTACATTCAGAGGCACTTTCCCATGGACGTTACACAAATCCAGGCAACCTCCCCGGTAACCCGAATGTTTCGAGAGATGCAGCAGCCCCACGTGCAGTCGCCGACTCAAGTGCTTCTAGATACACGATACCGTAGCCACAAGCCAATTTCTAGTTCCGAGATAGGAAAAAGG